TACATGATATTTACCATCCCAAAACAAACAAGCATGATAATCTAAACATTGCAAGTTTTGCTGGAATGTGTGCATTAATATTTTATGTCACAAAGTCAGTGATAAGTCAGTGACAATAGTCAAAGTCATGAAAATAGTTCCAACTGATACTTGGACTTTTTAAACAGTGGCATAACTACATAGGCAAAAAGTCTACAGATAATTTTTCAACTTTGTCAGTCATTTCTTTTGTGGCAATCAATCAGTCGAAAGCGTAATTATTAGGGCCGTTATGATTCACTCGCGTTTTCGGTGAATCGAACCGTATCCATTCTTGAATTGAATTTGTTATTCATGGCCACTAGAATCGAATATTTATGATTATGCAATCATGTGCATTTACATACCCTGTACCTAAAACATCCATAAGAACATATGATATGCATAGATTTCTTTAAAGACAACACTCTTATAATATTTAATTTAACAGGAATTTGGTCACTGGTCATTGTAGCATTTGAGCAGATACTAAGTCTAAGTACCTGGACAAGTGCAGTATATAAATGTATAATATAGATAATTAACCAACCATGTCAAATAATTTATGCTGTTAATGTTTCACTGAATATAACAAATAATACATCAACTACTGACTTATTATCGTATTCGTGAATTAATATTCGTATTCATTACCCTATATTCGTGATACGAATCGTATTCGCCTCATAGGTTATTCGTTGCAGCCCTAGTAATTATCCATCAAAGGAAGGTATCATTTAATTGTGAAATGTTACATTTGTTTAGAGTCCTCTTTGCCTGTCATAATGTTTCGTAATGAAGCTACAAAAAATAGTCAAATACCTCACAGCTACAGAATGAAACAAGGTAACAAATTTGACATATTTCATCCAAATCCAACTTTTTATGTTTCGGTTAAAGAGCCTAAGCCTCAGAGGTCTACAAGCACATTCATGGGAATTGATACCCTGACTGTCCTCACTAAACTTCTTCACAATTTATAGCTCCAAAGTTGCCAACACTTGTGAAAGGCTTCAGCCACACCCCTTTTAGACACCCAGTTTTCTAGTATCTGAGACTATTATTTTGATAATAATAAGAATATCCTAGTAATTTGTCCAGGTCCCCTTCAGTTCTGACTTCATCGCCGACAGACAAGGTGAGGTGAAATGGGTTTTAATGTTGCGTCCAAGATTATTGCATTTATATAGCAACGTGCTTGCACATGTGTGGGTGTGGCTGCTTGTAGTAGTTCGGACTGATGCCGATTTATAGTGCTAGCCCCCTGAGATACCATGCCACAGTTTAACATGAATACCCCTCTCAGACACAGTATACTGACTCCGAGCCGACCAGTTCCTGTTGCCCTTAATGCCGAGCACCAGGCAGAGTAACAACAAGTACCATCTTTTAACGTCTTTTGGTTTGACGTGGCTGTGGATCAAACTCCGGACCTGATGCTCTACCACTAGACCATGGAGGCTGTCCGATAAACACGAGCAACCCCATGTTTGTTAATACTGTCAATAGTACCTCTGACCTTTAATTATTGCATATTTATCCATAAATGACCCCATCGTATAGTAATTGTGTCAGTTGGCTTCATCCTGCTGAGAAACTTACCCATTATAAGGTAATTGGATGATTCAGTACGTTTGATTGACACCTGTCATCATGTCCAAGTGTGGTTGTGTTTGATGTCTGTATGTAAACTCAATGAGGGGTAATCCCAAATGTGTATCCTTTGTAAATCAGTTTAAAGCTGCATCTAAGGGAAAAAGAAATATTAGTACAAACACTTGTATGCTTTGTCCATTGATATCAAGATACACCTTGGGCATAATTTTCCGAGCTTGAATAGATAATACAGTCATATCACACTTTTATTCAGAATGATTCATTGAAAAACCACATTGTGTGTAGTATTCTAAGTTTGCATATATAACAGATCAACTTGTCCCTCCATGCTGTTATTCGTCATTAAAACACAGAAAGTGATTTACATTCAATGTTAATTTAAGAAATAGCAATTTAAGGTTTTTATTGCACCTATTTGTTGTTTAACGCCACTCTCAGTGCTTTTTCATGAATTTGACACATGTTAATATGTATCATTTAGGATAAGAAAATTATTTTATCCTGATCACCTAATACATGACTTTTACAGTAAAAGCATGATCCTTGAACGGTAATGAAAGTCGTAACTTTGATACAAATGTGTGATTCCTGAACGTTGGATGTCTGAGTGGTGATTATTTTAGGCGTTCAGGAAGCCATCAGACAGACCCTACACCAGCTGATATCTCCAGTAGCCAGGGAGTCAACCATTCAAAACACTGAAAGTCAGACCCAATGACCAAAAACCGAGCCCTGAAAGTGCAGTCAGAAAGGTTGCAATGAATAGCCATTGCAGTCCACCTGACCATCAATTACCATGTACATGTGTGGGATTGTTCATAAGACATTAGTACACCTTTCAGAGAACACTCACCTAAATCAGCACAAGAAGAGAAAAGAACTGAGTTTGCTTCATCTAATCTATATGAGAATCTAAATATATATTTTATCCCAAGATTGTACCTTGCTAATTGTGTGTTTTCATACCCTGTTCATCTTCCCGGGGCAAGAGAGTTAACTGACTTTAAAAGTCCAATTTCCACCCTTGCCGAACTAGGCTGGAATTCCTCGGCTCGATCGTAGCACCACCAGTGGCTATTACGCGTTATGTCCCTGCTATTCCTCTCCTATGGACCAATCAGATTCCACCTCTTGTATCACTTGCATTTGCTTCAAACAAAATGGCTTCGTCCAGTCAAGACGATCTAATCAATAATCAAGATCTATATTGTGAGAAAACGGGTCTTACATCGCAAAGTGCATCAAATCACATGAGTACCTTGATTAAAAACATGAAAAGATTTGGAAAACATCTGTTGACAACTAGTTGGTGGTGCACATGCTTTGCAAATACGTACTGCATTCGAACGAAATCTGAATGACAGTTTACGAACCGGATTTCGATTTCGTTGCGTGATTGGACTATGCATAGACTTGTTAGTCCAGCCAAAATGTAACTCAATAATACCAGCCTAGGTCGGCAAGGGTGGAAACTGGACTTTTATAGTCAGTTTACCCACTTGCCTTGGGAAGATGTACCCTGTTGCCAGGGATTGTTGTTCATGCTGTCAACCACTGGTTTGTTTGACTCAATGATGCAGCTGGGGGCACGGGTGGCCCAGTCGTCTAAGGCGCCGCGATTCGCTGTGCAGAGTTGCGTCCCTTGGGCACGACAGAAACCTATGATTGTGGGTTCGAATCCAGGTTCACCCCGATTATGTTTCTAGGTTTGTCAGCACCATACCCATGCATCGCTTCCAGCTTTCCTCCCACTTTAAGCTGACACGCCGTGATATAACTGGAATACTGTTAAAAGTGGCGTTAAACCCAACTCACTCACTCACTCAATGATGCAGCCAGATTGTGTCAGAAGGCAGTGGTAACGAGGGTAAAGTCAGGTGTGAATGAACCCAGCAATGGTCTCATTATATTTTACATGTTAAGTAATTTTCGTGTATTTTCTTCTTGACCATTTGGGTGAGATTTGGTTTATAGTAGTACATTGTGATGACCTAGTTATAAGTTTGCTATGAAATGCTGGATGGCGCTATGGTTACTGTTCGTTTGTTAATTTCCACTTAACAATATTACAGCTATGTGATGGCAGCCAGTAAGTAATCAAGTCTGGACCAGACAAACCAGTAATTGGTACTATAATCCATTGAGTCACATTTTGCTACAAGCACAAGTTTCTGGGGACCCTTTCAAACCCTGAAGGCGCGGTCGGGTAGCCTAGTGGTTAAAGCGTTCGCTCGTCACGCCGAAGACCCGGGTTCGATTCCCGACATGGGTACAATGTGTGAAGCCCATTTCTGGTGTCCCCCGCCGTGATATTGCTGGAATATTGCTAAAAGCGGCGTAAAACCATATTCACTCACTCACTCAAACCCGGGTCTTTGGCGTGACGAGCGAACGCTTTAACCACTAGGCTACCCGACCGCCCCTGCTTAAAATGAGAATAAGGTAGTCAGAGATTGCATATTTCGCAGATTTTATCCTTTTTTATTCAATTAGTACAGAATAAATTAGAAATACAATTCTTCCTTTTGTAAATAGTTTACATCCAATCATAAATTGTCTACATTTGAGCATCAGTTGCCCTAACGTGTGAATATTAGAAGTAAAGAAATAGTTAAATTTATCAAATTTACAAAATCTGTGGCTTTAAATGTGTTAAAGATGAAATCCAATTTGTGTTCAATTAAACAGGATATTTGGGAAAAATACATCCTGGTAAAAAGGTTCTGCAAATATATTAATTTTAATAAACTACAGAATTCTTTTGAAATATCAATGTTCAGAATTTGTGCTAAATATGTAAATGTACTCTGTATGATTGTGTACATGCTTTTATTATACACATGCAGGGGTAGAAACTAACGTTTTTGTTCCACTAGTCCTTATAATGATAACATATAGCGACACCCTTAAAAATGGTAAATTTCTACTAGTCCTTATGATACCTTAACTATTGGCCAGTTTGGCAAGGACTACAGGACTAGTGCCAATTACTAACGCTGCACCTGACCTGACTACTGAAATGTTTGTGTTTCCATAATGCTTTGCACAGACGGATAAACATACATTATTAATATCATGATTATATAGTATACCATGAAATAGAATACTGTCATGAAATTAATGGGAACTTTGCAAGTGTCCTTGCTCACATTAATAAAGTCATTACATTATACCTAGACATACTGGAGTTCAGACTCACTGCACATGTTGGCAACAGTGACATGCGTAACAAAGCTTTGAATATATTGTAACTGAACATTAGATTTAGTGCTGCACGCCAAGTCAAGTGGAGTCAGTTTGTTTACTCAGACTGATGTAGCGATTGGACAGTCGTCCACAGTGTAGGACAGTATTTTTGTTGTTGACAGTCTTATCAAATAATCTGGACAGGACACTGCTCTGACATCTACATACCAAAAATGCCAAGTAACAGCAGTCTTACTCGCATGTTGAAGACGCCCCTGTTAAATAAGAACAAGCTGGTATTACACAGTGTTTTATACCTAAGCATGTGAGTATATACTGCTGGAACTAATTTCCTTAACAAATATTGAAAACTCCCAACATCCCGCCATAGGGCATTGCAACATATGTGGTGCAGTCCTCGTTCCACAAAGCAATCTTAGCTCCATGACAGTCATAAGTGTATGTTAAATTCAGGGAGTTTCTATCACCTCAGCGCTACCATAGCTTGTGGAATAGTCCCATGAATTCTAGAGGCAGGCCAATGTAAGGTATTAAACTACTGTAATATGTGTCAACGTTAAATGTGTTTTAAGTATTATACTGTTGGACTCAATTGGATTATGTGGGTTGCATAGATGTCTGCCTATTTACACATAACAGTGAAATTAAAAAATATATATGTAAATGGCCGGTAATAAATAAAATACTAAACAAGCTCCCATGTAATACCAATTTTATTAAACTTCTGAATAGTTGTGGTATCTGACTTGCTTTTGCATGTTATTTACAGGCTGACATCATATGATTGAGATTCCAGGGTAGAATAGGTCTTCAGCAACCCATTCTTGCCGTAAAAGGCGACTATGCTTGTCGTAAAAGGCGACAAACGGGATCGGGTGGTCAGGCTCGCTGACTTGGTTGATGCATGTCATCGATCCCAATTGCGTGGATCGATGCTCATGATATTAATCACTGGATTGTCTGGTCCAGACTCGATTATTTACAGACTGCTGTCATATAGCTGGAATATTGCTGAGTGCGGCGTTAAACAACAAACCAACCAAACCCAAATCATATGATTGGAGTATTGCTGAATGTGGCATTTAGCAGGTAACAAACAGATAATAAATTCATGTTCAATCTTGATATTGCTGTTTTGTGTTATTTCCCTTGCTTTTTGTTACTGATTGTTCTCCATTTGCTGGTTTTTCATCAACAATGGTCGCTTTTATTCAGCTCAATAATAGTCAGGTATGGAATTTATTTTGTAAACAGTTCATATCTGAATCTAAATTGTATTTCTGTCTTTGTTGGCTGGTGTCTCTGTAGCAGGAATACTGATAGGGAGTTGCCAGGTTACAGTGGAATCAGTGAAATGTCTGTCAATACTTGACCAAACTCTGCAATGAAATTCTGAGACAGTTACCATGTAATTGACTCTTTCTGATCTGGATTGAGCTGTCACACATCTGGTAAGCTGTTTTCATCAATAAGCTGCCTTAGATGTTGGGGTTTTGCTAAATGCACTGTAATGACTTGTGTAGCAATATGGCTTGCTTAAAGAAATCATCATCTTGAAAGAATGGGTTACAAGTTTTGTTAAATGTTTGTGAGGCTACTTTTTCAATTAATTGATAAATTGTATTGACTGGACTAGACTTTCAGCCCGACACAAGTCTGATTGCGACATATTCCACAGTGCTTGTCTATCTGATCAGTTAAACTGTTGTTGCAAACACTAAATACATGTGGTTGCAGTGAATGTCAAGGTGTATCAAAGTTGCCATAACATCACTGTCTGACATTTGGAGGACACTCTATCACTTGCCATGATTACCATGAGCTGCTTTGTTGAAACTGTAAATTAGGCTGAAACATTGAGAGTTATTTTCTACTGAGCACTGTCGAGCAGTGTCATCAAAATACAAGCTGTTTCCCACCAGCAACCAGGTGGTTCTGCAGACGGCTATCAAACCAGACCTTAGCTCACCTGCTCAATGGGCAAGTCAGCTTATGTCGCCTGTTTGTTTGATCTCTGTCAGCATCTTTTCCTTTTTTAAGCATACCAGGGCTGAAGTGCAAGTGAGACTATGAAACTTAAGTCTCTTCTCAAAGTCTACTGAACATATCAATGTCGTTTTCGTATATGTCCCTAATACCCGTGAAGATCCGGGGTAGAATAGGTCTTCAGCATCCCGTGCTTTCCCTAACAGGCGACTATGCTTGTCGTAAGAGGTGGCTAACAGGATCGGGTGGTCAGGCTTGCTGACTTGGTTGATGCATGTCATCGATCCCAATTGCGTAGATTGATGTCCATGATGTAAATCACTGGATTGTCTGGTCCAGACTCAATTATTTACAGACCGCCGTCATATAGCTGGAATATTGCTGAGTGTTGCATTAAACAACAAACCAAAAATCCAATAACGACTGTGTGATGATTTCAATTAGAACTGCTGTTATGACAATAGTTACTGCTTTTATATTGCACTTGGAAACTTTATACACGATATTGCTTACATTAATTCTGATAATGCTTCTTTTCAATCAAACATATAGGAGGACTTGATAGTGAGGGGTGGATGCAGTATTAGTGATCTGGCCCTATTACCTTATTAAGAATATGATGAAGGTAGGAAAGCTAGGTATATGCATGTAAACCAGTACGAGCTGTGCATTTGGGAACTGTGAGCTGAACACTAAACACTTCGAAAAGAGCTCTCTTAATAAAACGCTGTCGATTCGCAGGGCACTTGTGTTGCAAATTGAAAAAATATCACCTAGAAGAACCGGACAGGGGCGGTCTGGTGTCCCCCGCTGTGATATTGCTGGAATATTTCTGAAAGCCGTGTAAAACCATACTCACTAACTCTTCGGCAGATACTTGTACAGTCAAGGAAATGATGCTAAGTGACATTAAATTTCATCATTTGAATTTTCAACTGTTGCATTCCAACAAAGTAGTCCTTTAGTATATTAGCTTCATCATTATCATCTTCATATACAGTATTTTGTTCAGTTTGTGAATGTTTGTATTTTTCTTGTTAGTTTGTTTGAGATAATTTTTAATATGCCACCATGTGTTGCTTCCAAGGTCTGGGTAACCTCCCAGTTTGAAAACTAGAAGAATAAATCACTGGTAGTTGTTCCAATCCATTTGCTGTCAGTTTGGCGTGTGTATCATCCTTCAGGCAAGGCATGGCTCACTGTCAACACATAGACAGCATGTGGTTACATAAAACAAAGTATTACTCAGGGGAATGTAATTCTTGAACCGGCAACAAAATGGCAGTTAAATGAAATTACACCCTATGGCATGTACACCGCATCGGCAATAGGGGAATAGCCTTACTATTACTTATTTATATTAAATAGCATTCATTCAATTACTAGAATTGCCCACCTGTGAAGATCCTGGTTAGAATAGATCTTCAGCAACCCATGCTTGCTGAAAAGGCTACTGTTATAGCTTGTCGTAAAAGGCGACTAACAGGATCGGGTGGGTCAGGCTCGCTGACTTGGTTGATGCATGGCATCGTATCCCAATTGCGTGGATTGATGCTCATGATGTCAATCACTGGATTGTCTGGTGCAGACTTGATTATTTACAGACCGCCATCATATAGCTGGAATATTGCTGAGTGCGGCGTTGAACAACAAACAAACAATACTTTGTGTGCAGAAACCATTCCCGATATCACAATTCTGTCCTATCTTCATTTCATGTATGTCTTGGAATAACGTCCCCATTGTGTGGATCGATGCTCATGATATCAATCACTGGATTGTCTGGTCCAGACTCAATTATTTACAGACTGCCGTCATGTAGCTGGAATATTGCTGAGTGAGGCATTAAACAACAAAAAAACAAAAAACTTCAGTAATTGTTTTGTGCTAAGATTGAAAGATATTGATCACCAGCCATTATTGTACCACGAAGGAAACTTCAGACTCTTTGTGATTTGCATAAAAGGACCCAGAAATACCTACCTGGTTTAGAAGTTGGTATATCTCTGATTAGTTTTGAAACTTATGGAACAGTTTGACAAGTCACCATTTGATATTGACCAACTTGTGGTCTCATAATGGGGAGCACCCACAAAGTGATGGATTAATTTACGATTTTCAAATGACAATAACCATGACAAATTATATATTGACAGTCATTATTAAGGTATTCATTCTGACAATAGAGGCTCTTGACAGGAGAGATTTCCAAAGTTGTTCATGAACCTGTGGCATTCGTTAGTCATCATTGATCAATCGGCCGATCATTAAAAGGTGATTAAAAAGATAGATACCAAGGTAAATTTATAGTTTGCTGTTGACTGTCATTTGTCAGTCTAGACACGGATCGAGTCCATAGTTTGGATGTTCATTTCTTCGTTTTGTTCACAAGGGTAGGTCGTAGTGAGGATATTCTTGAACAGGCATTCAGTTACACTCTCTGACTTATCCCAGTGTATGCTAAAATGCTAAGTTCAAGAGTAAAGGGTCTTAGTGATCAGGAACAATGCTCCTGTATGTATTCGTGCTAGGGAATTTCCAGGGTTTCCCCAGGAATAGGGAAGTAGCCTGTCAGTGTTGACGTCACTTTAAGAATATGGTCTTGTGAAAAACATTTTAGCGTCAAAATGTGGCATTCGTACACTAAGAATGTCAATTTCGTGGTCATGTTACTGACCTCACATCCAATGCAAAAGCTGCATATCATGTTAAATGAACATTTTGAAATTATTGTGTAATATACACCAGAAACTACAGATTGTCATATAAGCTCTCTGGCTTTGTGCGGGACACTAATGAAGATGGCTTGCTGACTTGTCCAAAAGATGGTCATGGGGTGCTTATTAGGGTGAACAGGATCTCAAATAGTTGCTGTTACTGATATTTCAGACTGCTGAATAAAAAAGGAGAAGAGTTACAGTGCCCCGTAGACTCTGCAGAAAGCTCTTTCAATTATGTAGCCCATCATGCTGTGTTAACATTCTCTGACTCACTGACTTTACATTTAATTTCAGGAATGCAGCCATGACAGATCACAGTAACTTCAACGCTTGTGGTGTGTGCATCGATTCAGCTTCAAGCGTGGAGTTTGCAGCGGTAGAAACAAGGGATATACTATTGTCCAAACACCGATTCCAGATCAGTTGTTAATTGCAACTACTATTGCAAACACAAGCTCAGCATTTGGTGCCTGTACCATCTGACAACTGCACCTAGCGCAGTCTCTTGACCGAATCAGATCTTAAGCAAATTCAACCTCGAAACACCTCTGCAATCTCATGACTGAATCAACGTCCATGACCGAATCGTAGAATATCAGATCTGGAGAAAGCTTTAAGGACCTGTGCAGTCTCTTGAAAGAATCGTAGAATATCAGATCTGGAGAAGGCTTTAAGCACCTTGTGCAGTCTCATGGTGAATCAACGTCCATGACCAAATTGTAGAATATCAGATCTGGAGCAAGCTTTAAGCACCTGTGCAGTCTCTTAACCAAATCAATGAATATCAGATCTGGAGAAGGCTTTAAGCACCTGTGCAGTCTCTTGACCAAATCAATGAATATCAGATCTGGAGAAGGCTTTAAGCACCTGTGCAGTCTCATGACTGAATCAACGTCCATGACCGAATCGTAGAATATCAGATCTGGAGCAACCTTTAAGCACCTGTGCAGTCTCTTGACCAAATCAATGAATATCAGATCTGGAGAAGGCTTTAAGCACCTGTTCAGTCTCATGACTGAATCAACGTCCATGACCGAATCGTAGAATATCAGATCTGGAGAAGGCTTTAAGCACCTGTGCAGTCTCTTGACCAAATCAATGAATATCAGATCTGGAGAAGGCTTTAAGCACCTGTTCAGTCTCATGACTGAATCAACGTCCATGACCGAATCGTAGAATATCAGATCTGGAGCGACCTTTAAGCACCTGTGCAGTCTCTTAACCAAATCATAGAATATCAGATCTGGAGAAAGCTTTAAGCACCTGTGCAGTCTCTTGACCGAATCATAGAATATCAGATCTGGAGCAACCTTTAAGCACCTGTTCAGTATCATGACCAAATCCTAGAATATCAGATCCGGAGCAACCTTTAACCTTCAAGCACCAATGGATGGATTTGAATGGCCTCTGAGGTGCCAGAAATGAATGAACATCATGGATTTCCACACCAGTTAACTTTGTCTAACTGCATCTAGTGATGCGTACATATACTTCCCTTTAGAAAATGATTAATTGTTTGCAGTGAATTGGGGCCAGTAAGGACCCCTTGTGGCCTCTGTGTGAGACACAGTGTACAAAATTCTCTAACCTAATTCCTGCATGTCTGTGGACGTTTGACTAGGATCATGATCAAGGACGTGAATGGAGGATACTGGGGGCTGGCCATCATCTTGTCGGCCTTCATGATCCAGTTTCTAGCTTTTGGCACTGGCCTGTCGATTGGTCTCTACAATATCGAGTTACTTGCTGTCACTGGCGACGCCTTTTCAGTGTCGTTAGTGGCAGCAATAAACACGGGCTGCTTCCTTGGTTCAGGTAGGTGTTTCTCGTCCTCACCCATACACACTGACCACTATACTGATGACTCATTACTTTACATAGGCTGGGTGAAACCTGGCTGTTGGTATGCTTTGTTTTGTTTGTTTGTTGTTAGACGCCACACTCAGCAATATTCCAGCTATATGACGTCAGTCTGTAAAATAATCAAGTCTGGACCAAACAATTCAGTAATTGACATCATGAGCATCGATACACACAATTTGGATACGATGACATGCATCAACCAAGTCAGCGAGCCTGACCACCCGATCCCATTAGTGAAAACCTATCTGTTAGCAGTGAGTCATGACAACTCAATCATAGGCAGGGTGAAAACCTATCTGTGTGCAGTGAGTCATGATGACTCAATCATGGGCTAGTTTCAACCGTGGCTGTTGGTATGGAGTGAGTCATGATGACTCCCAGTTCTACAACACCATATTATGTTGTTGACCCTTTGACACTTGTGCTGAGGCTTATTTCTTACCTTATTCACATGTATCCATATTGATACTTTGTAAAATATTATGTTTATTTTCTGCAGGTCCACTCGCCAGTTTGTTGATGAACTACCTAAGCCATCGGACCATCGTATTGATTGGTGCTGGGCTGAGTTCTGCCAGTATACTGTGTGTGCCATTCCTGCCCAGCATCGGCTACATGTATGCTCTGTGGGGAGTCTGTGCAGGTGTGTATGAGATATAGGCTACATGTACGCTCTGTGGGGAGTCTGTGCAGGTGTGTATGCGATATAGGCTACATGTACGCTCTGTGGGGAGTCGGTGCAGGTGTGTATGAGATATAGGCCACATGTACACTCTGTGGGGAGTCCGTGCGGGTGTGTATGAGATATAGGCTACCTGTACGCTCTGTGGGGAGTCGGTGCAGGTGTGTGTGAGATATAGGCTACCTGTACGCTCTGTGGGGAGTCAGTGCAGGTGTGTATGAGATATAGGCTACCTGTACGCTCTGTTGGGAGTCGGTGCAGGTGTGTATGAGATATAGGCTACATGTACACTCTGTTGGGAGTCGGTGCAGGTGTGTATGAGATATAGGCTACATGTACGCTCTGTGGGGAGTTGGTGCAGGTGTGTGTGAGATATAGGCTACATGTACACTCTGTTGGGAGTCGGTGCAGGTGTGTATGAGATATAGGCTACATGTACGCTCTGTGGGGAGTGGGTGCAGGTGTGTATGAGATATAGGCTACATGTACGCTCTGTGGGGAGTCGGTGCAGGTGTGTGTGAGATATAGGCTACATGTACGCTCTGTGGGGAGTCTGTGCGGGTGTGTATGAGATATAGGCTACATGTAGACTGTGAGGAGTTGGTGCAGGTGTGTGTGAGATATAGGCTACATGTACACTCTGTGGGGAGTCGGTGCAGGTGTGTATGAGATATAGGCTACATGTACACTCTGTGAGGAGTCGGTGCAGGTGTGTATGAGATATAGGCTACATGTACACTCTGTGGGGAGTCCGTGCGGGTGTGTATGAGATATAGGCTACATGTAGACTGTGGGGAGTTGGTGCAGGTGTGTGTGAGATATAGGCTACATGTACACTCTGTGGGGAGTCGGTGCGGGTGTGTATGAGATATAGGCTACATGTACGCTCTGTGGGGAGTTGGTGCAGGTGTGTATGAGATATAAGCTACATGTAGACTGTGGGGAGTCTGTGCAGGTGTGTATGAGATATAGGCTACATGTACGCTCTGTGGGGAGTCCGTGCAGGTGTGTATGAGATATAGGCTACATGTACGCTCTGTGGGGAGTCCGTGCAGGTGTGTATGAGATATAGGCTACATGAACGCTCTGTGGGGAGTTGGTGCAGGTGTGTATGAGATATAAGCTACATGTAGACTGTGGGGAGTCGGTGCAGGTGTGTATGAGATATAGGCTACATGTACACTCTGTGGGGAGTCGGTGCAGGTGTGTATGAGATATAGGCTACATGTACGCTCTGTGGGGAGTTGGTGCAGGTGTGTATGAGATATAAGCTACATGTAGACTGTGGGGAGTCTGTGCAGGTGTGTATGAGATATAGGCTACATGTACACTCTGTGGGGAGTCCGTGCGGGTGTGTATGAGATATAGGCTACATGTACGCTCTGTGGGGAGTTGGTGCAGGTGTGTATGAGATATAGGCTACATGTAGACTGTGGGGAGTCGGTGCAGGTGTGTATGAGATATAGGCTACATGTAGACTGTGGGGAGTCGGTGCAGGTGTGTATGAGATATAGGCTACATGTAGACTGTGAGGAGTCGGTGCAGGTGTGTATGAGATATAGGCTACATGTACACTCTGTGGGGAGTCGGTGCAGGTGTGTATGAGATATAGGCTACATGTAGACTGTGAGGAGTCGGTTCAGGTGTGTATGAGATATAAGCTACATGTAGACTGTCTTACGGTCTTTGTGGAGTGTACTTTGACAGTTTTTGCCTTTTTGAAGCTTTTCTGTCTATATATATGTGAGCACCATTTTTAAATATATGTTACCTGTTTCAGGCCTGGGGTTTTGCTTTGTTTATGTCCCGTCCCATGTTATGAGCGGGCTGTACTATGACAAGCACACCAGCCTCGCCACAGGAGTCGCTACAGCAGGGTCGGGGCTGGGGATGACAGTGTTCCCCACCATCGTCGGCTATCTCATCGACGTCTACACATGGCGTGGGTCGCTGATTATCCTGGCAGGACTGATGTTGAATCTGTTTGTGTTTGGTCTCCTGCTGCGTCCCCTGCCTCAGTCTCATCTTCATCTCTCGTCTTCTTAGACTATGTTGGAAAATATAGGGGAAAATGATCAGGATAAGGGAACAAAAGGAAAAAGATTTCGAAATTATTTTGTTTTTTGTGTTTTTGAATTTGATGTGTTTTTTGTTGGTAATATTTTATGGAATATGGGGCTAAACATTGTTGTGACCTTTGGACCCGATTTCATACTGACAACGCTAGGCGTAACAAGTATAGAAGCTGCTTATATGCTGACTGTTTTAGGTCTTTGTACTTTTCTAGGATCTCTTCTGACAGGTTTCATTGGTAACTTCCATTGTGTAAACAGGCTTTTCTTATATGTGCTGGTATGTGTGCTTTCTGGTATTGGAGTCATTTGTTTCCCAATAGCTAAGACCTACGTTATGTTGATGGTAGCTCATGCAATTGTTGGTCTTGGTTTTGGGGGCATCCTTGGCCTGCTTCTTGTGTTGACCACTGACCTGCTGGGGCCTGAGAGTCTGGGTGATGGTGTCGGCTACCTCATGCTGTCCAATGGTGTTGGATGTTTTGCTGGACCTCCGATCGCAGGTAACTACCACAGCATGGGTTATAGAGCACCATCACAGTGTTTATCCCCCACCATCAAGTGGGAGGGGGATATGGGCATGAGTGCTGTCTGTTCCTCCTTCCATCAGTTTCATTTCCTGTGCATAACTCAGAAACCGTTTGATATTTTTCACAAAACTTTGCATATGCTTCAAACGCATACTGAACTAGTGCCTTTCATTAATTACCAGAGCGTAACGTAAAAACCAGATGGGTTGTAGTGATCATTTCTGGATCATATATCCTTATGTTTTAGTCTGTTTTCAGTCGTACAAATGGGTATCTCTCATACCCTCACGTCTAGTCGCACGTTTAGAGGAAGCCAGAAGCTGGAATGTAAACATTAAACTTGTTTCCGTCCGGTTGCGCACGCACCTCCCTATGACATGTCACAAATCTCTCAGCGCGCCTCTGCGCTGGTCGCTAGAGAAAGTCTTTCGCGGTAGACTGCTAGTTTGTATTCTACTAGTACTTATCGCTTATCTACAGTTGTTCTAATAAAGTCATAACATGTCTTACCTGTAGACTCCTGGAATGTAATCCTTGGTAATCCATTGTTTGTGTTCAACGCGTGTTTCGCTGTTTGACAGTGATTCTACACGTGGCAATATGTCGGGCATTTGTGCCTCGTGTCAACGAAAACTGTCTAAAGTAGACCCTCACAAGTATTGTCCTTCCTGCATCATTAAGGACGGGTTTTCAACGTATTCTTGGAATAAACGTTGTAAAAAATGCGAGAACTTGTCTTCAATAAACTTTAACTATGTATCTTCGTGCGTTGGCGAAGCGGGCCGCTGACCAGCGCTACAAGCGGAGATGGTCATCGGTTGGATCCTTGGACTCTGCACCCTCCGCATCAGGCCCTGGGGGTGGCGAGTCGACCACACCTCAGAAATCAGTTGAAAAAGACCCGCCTCAGTCAACTTCAGTTTTCGACAAGACACGTGACCATTCGCCTGCTGATGATACTACCCGCACGACTGGTCTTCGTCATTCGGTTGATCGAGAGCGTCACTCAGCCTCCCCCGTTACGACGGGACCGGGTGGCGACGAGGACCATGAGGGGACTAAGGTCCCCAGTCGGTCCGCATCTCGTTCTACCAACGACGATAGGGACGTCATGCGGGACGACAGTGGACACAGAAGTCGTTCCCGTTCAAGTCGGGACGACAGGATGAGTGCCTCGTCGAGAGACAGTACACGACACGAGGGCGTTCATCGTCATCGTGGTCGTCGAATGTACGATTCGGACGATAACTACGATGGGGATCGTAGTACTTCTACAGTTAGAGATCGTAGCCCTCGTCCCCACGGGGACGTGCGACGTTCTCGCAGGGAGAGTTTGGGGGTTCAGCGTCGTAGTGAAGATAGTGACAGAACGACGACCTCGTCTCACTTTCATATCGACCCGGCTTTAATAGCCCAGATCACGGCGGCGGTCCTCGCCTCGACGGTGCGACCAAGAAGGATACGACTACGTCAGGGGTCCATGGCCCGTCAACTATTCTACGATGGGGATCGTAGTACTTCTACAGTTAGAGATCGTAGCCCTCGTCCCCACGGGGACGTGCGACGTTCTCTCAGGGAGAGTTTGGGGGTTCAGCGTCGTAGTGACGATAGTGACAGAACGACGACCTCGTCTCACTTTCATATCGACCCGGCTTTGATAGCCCAGATCACGGCGGCGGTCCTCGCCTCGACGGCGTCGACCAAGAAGGATACGACTACGTCAGGGGTCCATGGCCCGTCAACTAGTACAGCAGCTCCTTCATCTACGCCTCCACACTCGACGTCGACGATGGATTGTGACGACAGCCAGCAAAGAACGATGACAACCTGACGCGTGCGGGCTTTAAGGTCGGAGATACACCGCAGTCTCTTCAGTTTTCTCCTCCCGATGTCTTCAGAGCCATGGCTCACGATATGGACCAGAACTTTGGCTCTGCTCTGCCTGGGCAGAGCTTCTGCAAGCCGCCTGGTCGATCTCGTTACCCGATCTATGGCATACCGTTTTCGTCACCCATGAGTAGGGATTTGGACTGGGGGCTACTCTTCAAGAGACCAGCACCCTCCACATTTGGAATCCATGGGCACTGCTGTTCGTCACCAGCTGCAAACGCTTGCTATGCTGTCGACAGCGATCAAGGCCCTCTCAGTGTACTTTGAGGTGAAAGAACCCCAGGACGAGGACGACAGGACGGTGCCATCGGTCCTCACCTGTATGCAACGGTGGATCTAGGACGTCCTCGCCCAGTCCCGATATGTATCGGGACAGATTACTACAGCGCGTCGCCATGGTTACATCGACTGCACTGACCTACCTGATCGTCATGGCAGGTCACTCTTACGGGCCCCATGGACATCGCAACAGTTGTTCGACGGTCGTACCAACGACGTTCTGGACAAGTACTCCAGGGAAGCCGAGCGTGACATCATCATTTCGGCTTCACCCAACCTGTCCAGACGGCCACCGGTTTCGAACGCCCCACGACGACGTTACCGAAACGAGAATGTTCAACGGGCCTTCCGTAGGGACGTGCCTCGACAGCCGTCCCGCAAGGGAGGTTCCGACAGGATAGGTCGCCAGGTCTCCTTTTCCAAGTTTCCCAGAGGGGGAAAGTACCAGCAGGGGAGGAAGTGAGGTCCCTTCCCCCGCCGTCGCCGTGGTTGGAGTCTCCCCCGGTGACACTACCTTTAGTCGAGCTACCGGTAGGGGGGCGACTTCGTCACTATGCCCACAAGTGGGTTTTCCTCAACGAAACATACCTCCAACCACCCGACACATTCACCTTGACATCCCTCAGCTCTCTGCGTCGGATGATATTACCGAACGACTTCCTCGTCTCGTTAGACCTTCAGGACGCGTATCTACATGTACCAATAGCTTCCGAGTTCCAGAAGTACCTCCGATTCGAATGCCAAGGTATTCATTACCAGTGGGCGGCCCTCCCGATTGGAATTTCTACGGCCCCGTGCTTTTTCACACGGATCATGAAGACGGTCGTAGAATGGCTCCATCGGCAGGCGATCAGGGTCGCCTTCTACCTAAACGACGGGCTCCAAGCTCACCAGTTTACAGTAGCCCTTCAAGGTGAGTTGGCGACCACCCTGAGTCTACTACGGTACCTCGGGTGGATCGTCAACTTTCAAAAGTCGGACTTGGTACCACCTCGGGTTCTACAGTACATTAGGATACGCTTCCAGACGGGAGTCAATCTGGTCCAGGTACCTCAAGACCGTTGGGACAAGATTGTCAGCAGCGTTCCGTGACGTCTACATGCCTCGTCGTCGGTGCACACGTGGCAGGAAGTCCTCGGTCTGTTGACATCGGCCCAAGACTTGACCCGTCGAGGTCGTCTTCAACTTCGTCCGCTGCAGAGATTACTGTACCCCCACCTGGAGTTTCCCAATCTCCTGGTTCCACTTCCGGCGCAGCTACGTTGTCATTTGGAGTGGTGGCTCCAGCCGTCGAACGTTTGCGAGGGCGTCTTTATGAGCGAGCCTCCGTTCATACTACACCTATTCGTAGACGCGTCATTGGAAGGCTGGGGAGCGCACTTCGGGGACGACCAAGCGGCCGGGCGGTGGTTGCCAGTAGAAAAGGTCCTCTACATCAACTACCTCGAGATGGAAGCAGTGATTCGGGCGGTCGAGTTTTGGAAACTTCGACTCCGTCGGAAACGGCTGATGATACAGTCGGACAACTCCACAGTCGTCCACTGCGTCAACAAACAGGGAACAACTCAGTCGGCGGCCCTTCTGGACCGGACATTCAGGTTCTTCGCCCTCGTCGACGACTTGGACATGGGCGTACAAGAATGTGATTGCCGACGCCCTGTCGAGACCATCGAGGCCGTCTCCCACGGAGTGGATGATCCATCCGACAGTCTTTCATCTGCTGACAGATCTACTCTGGTTGCCCCAAGTAGATCTCTTTGCTGCCCCGTACAACAACCGCCTCCCTCGATTCGTGTCGCCGGTTCCAGACCCATGGGCATGGGACCACGACGCTCTAGCGATATCGTGGGGGGTCCAGACGCTTACGCGTTTCCACCAACGGTGCTGTTACCATCGCAACTGGTGAAAGTTCGTCAAACGGCCAACCTACGTCTGCTTTTGGTCGCGCCTTATTGGCCGGCCAGAACATGGTTCCCGGAACTTCTTCAGATCATCGTTCAACCACTGTTCCCGTTGCCAGATCGAGACGACCTCCTTCTTCATCCTCACACCGACGACTTGCATCCGGGGATAAAGAACTTCCAGCTTCACGCCTGGGTTTGCTTAAGACCTCGTTAATGAAGAAAGGCTATTCGGCTAAAGAGGCAGCGCTTGTCTCGTCGGCACATCGAGTTACGACTCGTAAGCTGTAAGATGACAAGTGGACCACTTTCTCCATTTTCGCCAGGTCTCATGGCTTCAACCCGGCGGTAGCGACCCCACCACAGGTGGCGGAGTTCCTAGTCTCTCTCCGGTCATCTCGGCGTCTGAAAGGGTCGACGATCTCGACATATCTGGCAGCTTTGGCTTCAGTAGTGCCGTCTCCTACGGGCGACAAGCTCACTAACGTACCGGAGTTGCAGAAGATTCTACGTGCCTTCATGGTTGAAGATCAGTCACGTAAATTCCGACCGCCGGCCTGGGACCTCGATGTCGTTCTGCGCAACCTGTCTAGTCAGGCTTACGAGCCTCTCGATAAGGTCGCGTTCGACTTATTGTCTCAGAAAACGTTTTTTCCTTCTCTCGCTGGCTACGGCTGCGAGAATTACGGAAATACATGCCATTGACGTCGGTCGGATTACGTTCGATCAGCGTAACCATGGCAACGTCCATCTTGGTCTCCGATGGGATTTTTTAGCGAAAAATTAACTTCCTGGCCAAGATCCGAGAATGTTCAACATTCCTTCCTTGTCTGCCATTATGGGCCCTCGTGATCACGCTGATCTCACCTTGTGCCCAGTTCGTGCGCTTCGTATTTACCTGCAGCGTCCTGAACAGCGACGACACCATTTTCGACGACTGTTCATACCGCTCTCAACCAATGCAAAGAAAGAGATTACACGTAATACTCTCTCATTTTGGTTGAGAGCGGTAATTCTCTGAGCTTACGAGGCGCAAGGACTCGCACCCCCCACCTCATCTCATCCGCACGAAGTTCGAGCCTTCGCTTCAACATTAGCACTCCACAGTAATTGTTTGCTACAAGCTATTATGGAGGGCTGCTTTTGGAGATCTACTTCAGTGTTTGCTTCGCATTATCTTAGAGATATCTCCATAGAAGAGGTTGAAGGACTCAAACAGTTTGGTCCACTCGTGGTGGCACAACAGATCTCTCAGAAAAGACAGTGAATTCGTGTTTTATTCACTTTGGAGTTTTTGCTCGACACTTCGTGACATACTACAGGTTACAATAAAAGCTGTTGGTGAATGTATGCATTCTTATGGTTTTTTGTTGCGTGCAGTACTTCTGCTTTTTATTATGGTTATTCGGTGTATGCATCGTCTTCCCATACATTATAGTACTGCTCGTATTTTTTAGTTACTTTGTATACTGCGAGTTGCTCTGTAACTAAATTATGCGCCGACCTCACTTCGATCCGGGTTCAACTGACGTGTGCAGTTGTACTGTCGCATCGATAATTAGTTGTGTGTCGATGAGCATTACCCATGCTATTTTAGTTACCTTGTCTACGGCGAGTTCTGTAACTAAATTATACGCCGACCACATTTCGATCGCAATTCAACTGACGTGTGCAGTTGTCCTGTCGCTTCGATAATTAGTTGTGAGTCGAAGAGCATTAAACATGCTGTTTTAGTTACCTTGTATACTGCGAGTTGCTCTGTAACTAAACTATTCGTCGACCACACTTCGATCGCAGTTCAACTGACGCATGCAGTTGGCCTGTCGCATCGATAATTAGTTGTGTGTCGAAGAGCATTAACCATGCTGTGCGTTCGTGATAAACAACTTGTCTCGTCCGTGCATCTGGTCGAATGTTCTATTGTCACTACAGGGGTGAGGAACTTGGTACATTCGACGTGAAAGTGGTCACTGCCTGATTACTTTCCCGACCCTCCTTCCAGTGTTCCGTTGAATTCTACCCATTTGTACGACTGAAAACAGACTAAAACATGGGTTTTTCAGATTAAAAACGATGTTTTATTGGTCTGTTTTCAGTCGTACGTTCCAACCCAGCCATCCCCACAGGGAAGTAATCCAGTCCAGTCCTGCTTGATGGCTTATTCTTCGAGATTTGTGACATGTCATAGGGAGGTGCGTGCGCAACCGGACGGAAACAAGTTTAATGTTTACATTCCAGCTTCTGGCTTCCTCTAAACGTGCGACTAGACGTGAGGGTATGAGAGATACCCATTTGTACAACTGAAAACAGTCCAATAAAACATCGTTTTTAATCTGAAAAACCCATTTTATTCATATATCATCCATGACACGTTATACCCGTATTAACAGAAAACTGAAACTGTCGTGTCATTTTGGATTTTCTTAGGAGGGGTGTCTGAGAACTGTTACCATAATTACCTGATTGAGATGTATGACACTTGACAAAGGAACTTGTACAAGATATATGGTGAATGGAGGAAAAATTACACAAACCTCAATTTACAAGTTGCTCGCTGTAGGTTTCGATTGTTATTCCACCGGCATATAAGCAGGGGGATATAGTCAACACCTTGTCTGTCCGTAATCATTTCTAAGCCTAAGTCAAAAACCGTACAATATGTTTCACCAAAACTTGGCAGATCTATTAAACAGATCCTGAAGTGATGCCTTTTGCTATTTGCAGATTTGGGGCATTTTTATTTTTTATCGATTTCCATGGAAACAATTGTAACTTTGTCCACAAAGGGAGGGGGAGGTGTCATTTCCTGTGCACAACTTGAAAACTGTGAAAGACTTTTCATCCAAACCTGGTACATGTATTAACCAAGGGCTGAAGTGGTGCCTTTTGCTGTTTAGGAATTTTTCAAAATTTGTTTTTTCCCTGTTTCCGGAGCAGAAGTGAAAAACTATTCAACATTTTTCATCCAAACTTGGTACATATATTACGGGTAATCAAGGTGCCTTTTGCTATTATTTGCCTCAAATTGTTGTACAGAGTTTGTTTCCAGGTTTGTCAGCACCATATCCATTTTTTGTGGGTTTCACAAAAGTGATAAACGCATCACCTTCCTCCCATATTAAGCTGATATGACTGAAATACTGTTCAAAGCTGTGTTAAACCAAACTCACTCACTCATTCAGTTTATTATTGTAACTGCAATCCTTCATATTTACATTTCTTATAAACTAATCACGAGTGCAAGATCATAGTCTTTAGACATATATGGAGGTAGTCAACAAGGTCATCAAGAAAGCAAGGTTTTCATACCAACACTGTTTCACTGAATAAGAGAACATCACTAATATGAGTTATTTCATACTACCATAGTTTGGATGGGTTGTAGCGGGGATATTCATGAACAATCGTGCAGTCAAACTCTGACGTTTCTCAGTGTATACTAAAACGCTTAGTTCAAGATTAAAGGGTCGCAATGATCAGAAAGAACGCTTCTTTACGTATTCATGCAAGGGAATTCCCAGGGGTTTCCCCAGGAAAGTGGAAGTAGTCCTGTGTTTATGTCATTTCAAGAACATATATATACAGTAAACTATGGTTATAACGAACTCAAAGGGACCACTAATTTTAGTTTGTAATAACTGTAGTTCGTTAAAAGCATATAAACAACAAAAGGCTGGGACTAAAAAATAAGTTTGTTATATCGGTCAGTTCGTTATAAACATTGTTTACTGTATATATTAATCGTTTAGGTATGGGTCCAGCTGAAGGAACCAATGCTATAACACTTGTGAAGCACCCAGTCTCCAGTGGTTGTATGTCCTGTGTTTCAGGCCTACTGAAGGACAGTCTCGGAACCTATGATGTGCCGCTGTACACTGCTGGGGTGCTTGTTGTAGCCAGCGGCGTCATAATGGGACTTGTGCCACTCAAGACCAAACTCTGGGGCAGATCAGTCATCTACAAGGACACAGAAGAAGAGATTGCTCAAGGGAGTTAGTTACATACATGACTGTAGCCTACATCTTTACATAGAGGAGGCCTAGATCTGTACATAGAGGAGGCGTAGATCTGTACATAGAGGAGGCGTAGATCTGTACTTGGAAGAGGCCTAGATCTGTACATAGAGGAGGTGTAGATCTGTACTTGGAAGAGGCCTAGATCTGTACATAGAAGAGGCGTAGATCTGTACTTGGAAGAGGCCTAGATCTGTACATAGAGGAGGCCTAGATCTGTACATAGAGGAGGCCTTGGTCTGTACTTAGAAGAGGCGTAGATCTGTACATAGAGGATGCCTAGATCTGTACATAGAGGAGGCCTTGGTCTGTACTTGGAAGAGGCCTAGATCTGTACTTGGAAGAGGCCTAGATCTGTACATAGAGGATGCCTAGATCTGTACATAGAGGAGGCCTTGGTCTGTACTTGGAAGAGGCCTAGATCTGTACATAGAGGAGGCCTAGATCTGTACATAGAGGAGGCCTAGATCTGTACATAGAGGTTGCCTAGATCTGTACTTGGAAGAGGCCTAGATCTGTACTTGGAAGAGGCCTAGATCTGTTTGTAGAGGTTGCCTAGATCTTGAGGTCTGTTTAATCCTGATAATGACTACTTTATAGGTGGAATCCCAAATCTGCAAGCGTGATTTCTGAGAATAGCTCAGCATAATATTGCATATTATACATCACATTGCCAGTTTCCTTGTTTATAATAAGCACATTATTCCACCTTTCTCTGTGATCTTGTAGTGAGATGGATCTGATTTTTCTCTCTGATAGTATATCCATCCGGAACCTGTTCGACTAAGCAATCTTAGTGCTAAGCTGATCCCTAGCCTACCGGTATGGTAAAGTATTGGAGCTACGACCAACTTAGCACTAAGATTGCTTTATGGAACAGGTTCCTGATCAACTTGCTTTAGATAATAACAAAACTTAAAGAAAGCGTGAGGTATCATGTGTGTACCTTGCTTGCTTGAATCTCACACCTGTGTGTACCAGTTCTTTTACATTGTTTGTTATTGTTGTTACATTGTTGTTTGAACAGATTGAAATTCATCTAAAACAATCATGAAACACAATCTGTGATCTGTTTATGCCTTGTAGTATTGAGCAGCCAATCAGGTGACTCGTATGTGTGAAAGCTCTGATGTATTAGTACCGTATGTGTGTTGTGATCACATTGATGTCTATGTTCAGGTTCAGTTTATGTAAGCTTTATGTTACATGTTTGTGTTTTTCATTCATGGTTGTCTTTTTTAACTTTGACATAGAGAATCTCACCCGAGTGTCATTTGATATCAAATATATCAACAGGAGTTGATAAAAGTGGGAAAACTCCGAGGTTTGCTGAGGATTTTTTCCACTTTTATCAACGAGTGTTGATATATTTGATATCAAAAGACACGAGGGTGAGATTTTATTTATCATCCAACATCTTCTTCAAACTTTTTCAGTTTGTAGACAGTAATTAGCAGTGCCTCAAGTGTAAAAAGTACTGCTTACAGCTTCAGTAGCAGAGCCATTAGTGATGTCATATGATTGTGACGTCATGGTAACCAATGACGTCACAATGGTCTGCAAAGCATTGTGATGCAATTTCATTGCAGCGATATCTACAGTGTAGATATCGCTTGATCTCACCCAAGCCATATCTCCTGTGGGAGCCAGTTTTGGATGATAAATGACCTAGACACATGGTAAGTTAAGATGAAAGCTCTGATGTATTAGTATCATTATAAAATGTTGTGTATCAAAATAGAATAAAATAAGGTGTTCCATATTTTGACAGTAAGGTTTCTAGTGACCTTGAACTTCATTAGGTCACCCTATTTAACACTTAATGGAGAAATAATGAAAATCTGTTGATTCTACTTCAGGAACCAACAGATTTGATGATTCTCCGACTTAAACTGTATTACGGTAGCTGTAAAATGTCTATATCATTTGGCCTATTGACCTATAGTTGTCAGTTTTACTTGTAAAAATGCAGGTGCAAAATGGCCAGTGAATTCCTGTCTTAGAATCAATAGCGTGACGTCGTCATAATAGTTTAATAATCATTGATATTATGTACACAAGTTTAACCTTATTCTACCTCACCATGACAACACTGAGTAAGTGAGGAGTGAATGACCTTCAAAGTGACCATGACATTTGACATAATCATGACATGATGGGTGTTGGCATAGTTATTTATAGTTCATATTCCATTAACATTTAACATGGCAAAATACTGAAAGATAATGCAGAGTTGATGCTTCGTCTGTATGTCCATTTGTCTGTCTGTAATCATTTCGAAACTCGAAAACTCTTCAATTTTTTTCAACAAAACTTGGCAGATATATCAAACAAATCCTGAAGTCGTGCCTTTTGCTATTTATGGACTTTGTACATTTTTATTGGAAACAATTTGGACTTAGTTTCAAAAGGGTAGGGGTAGGTGTTGTTTCCGGAAAACAACTTGAAAACTGAGAAAGGCATTTCATCCAAACCTGGTACATGTAACCAAGGGCTGAAGTGGTGCCTTTTGCTATTTAGGAATTATCAAAATAATATTTTTCCCTGTTTCCATGGAAGCAAGTTAAGACTGAGTGGAAAGGGAGGTAGGTGTCGTTTCTGGAGCAGAACAATATTAAACATTTTTCATCCAAACTTGGTACTTATATTAACCAAGGGCTGAAGTCGTACCTTTTGTGATTTTTTTTTTTTTTAAATTTTGTTTCCAAGGCAACAAGTTTGACTTCCACTCTGTTCATAGTGGTGTGTTTGTACATACCATATCTCTAAAAGTAATATGTATTCTTTCATAATACTTTGCGCACACCAACCAGTTTGTCAAATGGTGCCTTTTGCTACTTAGGGGTGTTTAGAATTATTTTTATTTTTTCCTGTTTCCATGGCAACAAGTTTGACTTTAACTGTTTATAGTGGTGTGTACAATGTTCCAAATCCCATGGTATTGTTTTGATAGATAGAAATTCTCTCATCAAGTTCGACTTCAAGTAACAGTCAGATGATTTGTTCTTTTGAAATTGTGGAGACCGGGGGATTTGTCCTATAGCCTGTGGAGGTATATGGGTCATTTCAACATTTGCAAGGTATCTCATGTCATAAACTAAAATCTTTCCTTCATGAAGATCCAGGGTAGAATAGGTCTTCAACAACCCATGCTTGCCGTAACAGGCGACCAACGGGATCGGGTGGTCAGGCTCGCTGATTTGGTTGATGCATGTCATCGTATCCCAGTTGTGTGGATAGATGCTCATGATGTCAATCACTGGATTGTCTGGTCCAGACTCATGGACAGCTTTAAAACCAGACCTTAGCTCACCTGCTCAATGGGCAAGTCAGCTTATGTCGCCTGTTTGTTTGATCTCTGTCAGCATATTTTCCTTTTTTGAGCATACCAGGGCTGAAGTGCAAGTGAGATTATGAAACTTAAGTCTCTTCTCAAAGTCTACTGAACATATTAATGTCGTTTTCATATATGTCCCTCATGCCCGTGAGAATCTGGGGTAGAATAGGTCTTCAGCATCCCATGCTTGCCCTAACAGGCGACTATGCTTGTCGTAAAAGGCGACTAATGGGATCTGGTGGTCAGGCTCGCTGACTTGGTTGATCCATGTCATTGATCCCAATTGCGTAGATTGATGTCCATGATGCAAATCACTGGATTGTCTGGTCCAGACTTGATTATTTACAGACCGCCATCATATAGCTAGAATATTGCTGAGTGCGGCATTAAACAACAAAGAATCAAATCAAGAATCCCTCACTAATTAAAAAATCAGAACACAATGTGTTGTATAGTTGATATGGAAAGGTTGCAAATATATCATATAATATTGCTTTTGAAAAAGTATTTCAACCCACTTTGTGGTGGGATAAAAAAAGCATTATTTTCATGTCTTATTATTGAGGCTTCTGAATATGGCTTTGTTATCTATTATTTGTTTAATAAAATAATGAGCAAACTCTTCATGACCAACACAGGTAACAATGTCGTTTGTTCTTTCATTGTTTCACTTTTACATATCAGAAAAGGTCACCAGTACTCCATGCTCGTCTCCCTGCAGAGATTCCAGGACAGAATATTCCGAGCGGGAAGGGGGCAACAACAGGTGGCAACACATTTCCAATGCCATCGTAACACGATATCGGCTTTGGTGAGGCGTTATCAGAACACAAATGACGTTGCCGACCACCCACGTTCAGGACGTCCCCGAGTAACGACGCCAAGACAGGACAGATGGATTTGAGTTACACATCTCCGACACAGGTTCCAAACGGCAGTAACGACGTCCCAGACAATTCCTGGACTGCGCCGTATCCATCCCAACACTGTCAGGAATCGTTTACGTCAGTACGGGATTCGACCACGACGCCCTGCCATACGTCCCATCCTGACACACCGTCATCGAGTCAACCGTCTAAGATGGTGTCGAAATCATGTTCGCCAACCTCAAATATGGTGGAGAAATGTTGTCTTTACAGATGAATCGAGGTTCAACATTTCCCACAGTGACGGGTGCCAACGTGTCTACCAGTGTTTGGGAGAATGTTATGCAAGCAACTGTATTGTGGAGAGGAATCGTTTTGGAGGTGGCTCTGTGATGATTTGGGGTGGGATAACAGCACGGCACCGAACCCCTTTTGTGGTTGTTCAGGGCAATCTCACCGGTGTTAGCTACAGAGATCAGATTCTGAGGCCTGTGGTCATTCCTTTCCTGCAACGTCATGGCCCGGGATTGACATTTCAACAGGACAACGCTCGTCCTCACACGGCTAGGGTCGCAATGGATTTCCTTCACCATACCAATGTCATGTTACTGCCATGGCCTGCAATTTCTCCAGATCTCTCCCCAATAGAGCATGTGTGGGATGAAATGGAGCGCCGTCTGCGTCGTCTTCCACATCCTCCAGATAACGTCCGTTACTTGGCACAGGATTTGAGGAGGATATGGCAGGCCATTCCCCAGGCCTTCCATGCCCATTTGGTGGACTCCATGCGTCGCCGATGCACTGCTGTAATTCACGCACAGGGTGGTCATACCCGTTATTGACTTTGTGACTTTGTCGTTTGACCCCCTACTCCATTTTAATCTTCTGACGTCATCGTAACAGATGTTGTTCAGGTCCCGTTGACATTTTCTTATGGTCCAATCATTCAGCTGCTACAGCGTCTGCATCATTTTGTTCTTGCTGTGTTGTATTTCAATCCAGAATATATTTTCTCCGTGCACAGTTTCTTTATGTGGCTAGTATAGAATGCAGATCATGACAATAAACAACGGACACGTCACACATTTTCCATAGTTATTTTATTTAAGATTTTTTTTGTGTATCAGCCAAGCATACATCATGATAGTATTCAATGCCAAGCAATCTTATCAAATCCGTGTGGAAACAGGTACATAACATGATATATCACTGAGATTAAATGCAATCAACTGCTGACTGGCTCAATAGAAACACTTAATAAAAGAATTTTGATCCCTTGAAAACAGCATACTCAAAAGAGCACCTGCTCCTTCCTACCACCATTGCTGCGGTGGCAGTCAGCTATAATACATCATTTGTTCCCATTGGTAGAAATGTTTAGTAATTTCGTTACAACAATACTTTTACAAATTTTCTATGTTTGGCCTAATTATGTCCTAAACAACAAAGGCAGCAGAGGCGTGTTTCACTGAAAAAAATGGTGTCAAACGATTGCGTAGAATGTACAAAAATATTCATCTAAAATCTGTTCACATGTTAGTGACCAATTAAACATAGAAACGTTATTTACACATTATTCAAGCACTGCACAAGACTAACCATTGCCAGATCCTCCTATCGCTGTTCTGATAGCCAGTTGACACGCCATGTTAATAAAATAACCATTCTTACATTAGTAATCTTATATTGAAACTAAGGATGCACATCAAATGCTTAGCAACCTTTCACTCAACATCTTAAAAATAGAATATTAACTTTCTTTCAGAGGTCAGCTCAAAGTACAGTTAGGGATAACAACTGATGCAGAGAACCCAACATTTTAAAATAGAATAACCTCATCAACATTAGTGGTTTTACATACCTCAATACTTCAATTTTTAAGTTAATATCAAATACTGATGTTTCTCAATCTGTGATGAGAACTATTGCTCTTCGATTGTGTGTGTCATGATTTATAAGTTGTGATTTTGAGGTGGCTAGCTGTCCCATAGGATTGTTCAGTCAAGATTATGGCTTGTATCAAATTGTCACATAAAGTCTGCATGGAAATGTACAAACGGTGATATGATAAATAGCATTGTACCAAAACAAAACAGTGAAACAAAGACTGCATCCCTAAACGTAAAGTGAAATGTAATAGTTGCAAGCAAAGCCCATATATCAAATCCCAAAATTTGGTGGATTTACTTATTAAGATCAGAAATAAGTTCACTATTTTAGTGAGCAAACTTATCAGTCACATGGAAAACAACTTTCTTGGGTCTAAGTACACAATCTGATTCATATCAAGCACATTAATGCTTCTCTATATCTCAGGCAACAGACACTGCTACATAGACGCACCATGCTCATGCAAACACAAGCCTGTATCTTCAGTCTGGGGGTAAACATTAACTAAGTACACTGATTTCATCACTGGTTCCAAGAGAGAAGGTTGTGGGGAGAAACAACAAAAACCCACTGTTGGTAAGCTGGAATCTTTTCTTGGAAATATACGACGGTACAACACGTCAAAAATGACAAAATGGAGCTTTCATGCATTTAAAACCATGTCGACTCATATTGACACATACCACTCAAATATTGGTAATTTGTGTTTGGAAATATGACCCCCCAAAAAGACAAACTTGATGTTTCATGAGTTGTCACTCAGTCCAACGTAGTCGAGCAGATTCAGTGAGCAACAAAAGAAAAGAGGATTTATTGCTATGCTACTGATGGAAACTACTCTAGCAAGCCAACATGACGACTGATTAAACTCGTTCCTCGATGTCTAAACAATGCTTTGACAACGTCTATTTGATATCCCTCAAATGCCAACATATCCATAACAGAAACCCATTTCAATCAATTTCTCCATACTATAATACAATTCTGATTAAAGTGTGAAATTTACAATCATTACCACATTACAGCTCAATCTAAATATGCCCATGTCTGCATGTGCTGTCTCCAAAACGTAAACATTCAGTCCTACTTAGACAGCCTTTAGTTCATTGGTTCTTTTCCATTGTAAACAAAATCTCAGTTGATCATCATCAAACGTACAGACAGAAAATAACAGCATCATAACATAAGCATAATGGACAATTCAAAAGATAAACTTGATTATTAAAGCAGTAAATGATGGTAATGTCACGTTATATCAATTAGAGATAGATACAATAGTTAATATAATGCATAATATGGACAACTATTGGAATGGCTGGTGGCTTAGAAACCAGCACAGTTAGGATATATATTCATATATACTATGCATGGGATACGAGTCAGCTCAGGTTTCAGACTGATTCTGCTCTGATTCATCGTCATCTTCTTCCTCGGCTGCCTGAGTCTTGATTGATTGAATAACCTGGCGGGCCGTCGTCGTGCTTCGAGATGAGGGCCTGAAACAGGTGGGTTCTGGGGTTAAGACTCTTGCAGAATGATTGGGTTTGACTAAGGTGTTGCACAGAGGTGACAGAGATATAGTGGAGTATATATATGGGTTGCATGCACATCCCATGGTTCACTTGTCCATAATAGACTCAAAGAACAAATATCACTAAATGGATAAGTATTGATGGATTTATTTTTTTAGTAAATCACTTTTTCAAACTTGTAGATAAAATAAACAAAAGATGTGAAATGTAAAAACAAGTTGAGGAAGGAAGTTAAAAAAAAAAAAAAAAAGCTGTTGAAAAGCTGCATCCTTGTTTTGCAGAAAGGACTGTGAAGAATAAAAACAAAGTCTTTCAAAAATTGACACTCTGAGAATTCTTCATACTGAATTCTGCGGTATGGGCACAAATTCTGCTGTGATGTAATGAAGGCTTGTAATCTTGCATTTACTGAAAAACTGAAATATTTGGAAAATTTTACGAGTGCTTCCTGGTATTGTTTTTACTGACTAAACCATAATGGTCAAGTTATTTATATACAAGTCAGTTTTGTTTATTGCACAACAACCTTGTTTTATCCTCATAACCTGATAGGAATCCGTTGAGCATTGCTTCTGCTGAGCTGAACAACAAACACAAAACACATTTCCTAGACTGAACTAGTTCAAAAGGATGCCCTCCGACAAACTGAAGTCGTACACAGTACTTTTCCCACCAACATAATCCTACATTCAATAATGGAATCTCACTGGACCAGGAAAACAAATCGTTTTTCTTTGTTCTTCATAAGATTAGACAACAAAGGACTGATGGTTGAACTGTAATGTTTAAACAAAAAAATCAGCTTTCTAACAGACAGTCAAGTCTAATGAGATTATACAATCACATTTGTTTTAGTTCAAGTGACCAGAATGACTCGTGACTTGCTACATTTCCTCATGCAGGTGACCAGCGGCATTCATGGTATGTGTAGAACACAATAGGTAGATGATACGTGATATATCACACCTGTACACAAACTGACATCCAGAATGCATCGGCAGTCTCTACAGAGAAAACTCACTGTAGACATGCAGTAGGGAACATGTATCATAGTTATAGAAACATAGAAAACCTTCATTGCTTAACTTTTGTCATATGACACCATCTAGCATGCTATACAACAAAAAATATCACACCACACATTTAGGACATCACAAAAAGTTTCCACAAACACACAGTTACTGTTTTCTATATTCTGTTTGACCTGTATACTAGTATAGCTTTCCAATGTACACTCGGGTTAGTACATTACTCTTACACTTCAGCCTGTATAACTCTACAAAGTTTAAACAGCCATGCGTATATGGTATTTGTGACCAAGCAGTGAGGACAGCTCTTGTATATCTCTAAGCTTTCCTGAAAATATTCTACTTGAAAGCTTTAACAAGACAAATTACAGTCAAAAATAGACAAGTACGCTACAGCATGCTGGGAAACAGATTGTGATCAGCTTGGAGCTGTCTGTGGCAGATGGTTCAAGTCTGTATAGTAGAAGAAACATAGGAAACTGCCAACTTACAACCTAATCTTGCTGCATTTCACTTTGTCTGACAACAGAGAGTGATACTGCATAATAACAGTTCAACATATATGTGCAAAGCTTTCCCAAAGTTGATTAAATGCAAAACAAATGAGGTCAAAAACAAATGTTTAGAGTGCATGCGTCACCACAAATTCTCCAGTATTTCCGAATTGAATTAACTAATCTATGCTGTGTAATTATCACTTCAAAACATGCTGTCATTGTTATATTGATCTTGTAGTTATCGAAGCAAAGCATGTCAACTGTAGCGGAATTGTTAACATGGAAAAACAGGTTTGGGACAAGATGTCATGAAATGGCGATGGATGCGTTCAACTGGAGATGAGGTTGAAGGAAATACCCAGATCACAACAGATCATTCAAGCCTATTCTCGCTGTTTTCATAATGAACACTGAAGCCAAAAAAATGAAACCAATGACTTATAATAAATATGCAATCCAGGCGTTTCATTGCAAATGGAAGAGCTTGAGGCCAAGGGATGGCGGAACATGCGAATACCTTTCACTTCTTCTTGGCTTCGCAAACACATTTTAGACTGCATGGAAGACAATGACGGATATATGAGGTTATCATGGGACAAGAATTACAGGATTTTACTGCACTTAGATGTACATAGAAATATATATAATATTGAATACATGAAGGAAAGACGGTACGTTACCTAATATCTCCTGAAAGGCGAGGTATTATTGTAGAATACCATTGAAGCAAAGCATGAATGATTTTGCAAAGGACATCAAACAGCTTTAGATAGCAGACCTTTCAGCCAATTCAGAAAACGACTTAACTTTTTTAGCTGAATACAGAATTACTGAATGCATTCCAATCAGAGTATGAATAAATGCCACGCCACTGTCAACTCTTGAAGAGAAGCTATATACTGCAGTGCAATATTTGGACTCATTGCATAACCACGACAGCACAATTAAGCTGCTATTATGATAGAACTGGTTAAAAATCAGATAACATACCCTCACATTTTGCTAAATGGAAGATGAGATGTCATAAATACAAAGACACCAAAAATGAAAGTGTTTTGAATCATGCAATAACGTGATGATGAAAACATAGTTCAATGATTGACTTATCACAAAAAAAACCACCTAAACAAACCTACTTAACATATCATGCAGAGAACATGTACAAATATTCTACTACCAACAATAACATGTCTAAAGGTTAACTGCAAGTTCTATAGATACATTACAATATCATCAATGCTATGCATCAATGGCTGATGAAACAGGGAATGCCACATACCTGAATTTTCTTAACTGTGAGATTTCTCGAGATGCCACTTCATTTTGTTCCATTTGCTCATCGATATCTCTCTGTAGTTTACGTTTCTGAGAGTTGAGACGTGCAACCTCCTCCTCAGTTTCGTCCAACTGTCGCTTCAAGGCCTTCACTCGGTTGTTCACCTTGTCAAGCTGCAGGTGGAAACACAAACACTTACAAGGTGTCCGTCCCCCTTGTTTGTAATGAGAGTCAAGGCAATACATCACACAATCTCAACTTACAGTGTTGCACATGAATGTCGGATTCTGTATGGCTGAGACCCATTCTATTATTTTCAATGTACCCCGCTAACATGTAAGGTACATTTCTTATGTTCCCCACTAGAATTGTCTAACTGTTGGAATTACACCTGCAACATACAAACCACAATTTTGTATCTCTAATTAAATGTTAGACACCATTTTCCAGATATTAACAATATGTTCCAAATGAAATAGATCTAGGGGGAATAACTCAGTTTGTTTGCGGTCTGCTACAAATGCATAACTGTGGTATTCTTATTGATTCAGGCCAAAGCATGCATGCATAAGATAAGATGTGCAGTAAGATAAATTAATCCTGCGACCACCATGTGACTACCCTGCATCCACCATGTGACTACCCTGCATCGACCCTGTGACTACCCTGCGACCACTATGTGACTACCCTGCATCCACCCTGCATACACTATGTGACTACCCTGCATCCACCCTGTGACTACCCTGCATCCACCCTGTGACTACCCTGCATCCACCCTGTGACTACCCTGCATCCACCCTGCGACCACCCTGTGACTACCCTGCATCTACCCTGCGACCACTATGTGACTACCCTGCATCTACCCTGCGACCACCATGTGACTACCCTGCATCTACCCTGCGACCACTATGTGACTACCCTGCATCCACCCTGCGACCACCATGTGACTACCCTGCATCTACCCTGCAACCACTATGTGACTACCCTGCATCCACCCTGCAACCACTATGTGACTACCCTGCATCCACCCTGCATCTACCCTGCAACCACTATGTGACTACCCTGCATCCACCCTGCAACCACTATGTGACTACCCTGCATCCACCCTGCATCTACCCTGCAACCACTATGTGACTACCCTGCATCCACCCTGCAACCACTATGTGACTACCCTGCATCTACCCTGCAACCACTATGTGACTACCCTGCATCCACCCTGCATCTACCCTGCGACCACCATGTGACTACCCTGCATCCACCCTGCATCTACCCTGCAACCACTATGTGACTACCCTGCATCCACCCTGTGACTACCCTGCATCTACCCTGCGACCACCATGTGACTACCTTGCATCCACCATGTGACTACCCTGCATCCACCCTGCGACCATCCCAACTGACCTGTTCCTTATACTGGTCAGCATGTCTCCTCTCGTCCTCAGCCTGCAACACCAACTCCTTCAGCTTTTTCTCCAGTTTCCGACTCGCTCTTGACAATGTTGCACGTTCCCTGGAACACAGAAATGTGAAACACATTCAGAATAATGCAAGAGTCATCAGGAGATAACAAATCCCTCGCCCCCCACAAATTCCAAAGAAGAAATCATCTGACTGTTACATTAAGTCCAACTTGACAAGAGAATTTCTGAGCTGTCTGTCCGTACAAAAGGAGTAGTTAGATGCCGGGTGGATAACAAAGACTGTGATGAAGACAAACACATTATCTGTCCACCTCACTGATTAGAAGTGTTAAAGTTACGCTATGTCTGGCATACGAAGGTAACGGTATGAGTGAGCAAGGTGATTTTGTGGTAGTTAAAAGTGCTGTCCTGCAGATTGTAGATATTTCCCAATTTATTGATAGACCAAACACTCTCAGGGTTGACGCAACTCTGCAAATTGGTCCTGGTCACTAATTCAACAGGTTCGTCAGTGACAGTTTTCATCCACTAGCCCTCATAATGATAACATGTAGCAAAATTCTTAAAAAGGGCTACTTTCTACTAGACCTTATGATACCTTGACCATTAGGCAGTTTGGCAAGGACTATAGGACTAGTGCCAGTTTCTAACACTGTTCCTACATCGATGGTATTGATATCAACCCAGTGAACCTGGTAGACTCACTTGGCTTCGATTTCGAGCTGCTCTTCCAGATTGACAATCTTGCTCTCAAGGGCAGCTATAGTAGCTTTGGTTCTAGATCGGTTCTGCCCCTCCAGTTCTGCTAGCTTGTCTCTCATATCCTTGTTCTGCCTCTCCAGGGCAGACTTCTGGTTCTCCAACTTCAGGGAAAGTGTCTTCTCAGCTGACAAATCAGCACTCATCTGCTCCATCTGACAAAATAAAGGAAGTAATTCAAACGTTTTGTTTGTTGTTTAATGCCGCACTCAGCAACATTCCAGCTATATGACTGCAGTCTGTAAAATAAACGAGTCTGAACCAGACAATCCAGTGATTGACATCATGAGCATCAATCCACGCAATTGGGATACGATGACATGCATCACCAAGTCAGCGAGTCTGACCACATGATCCCATTAGTCGCCTCTTACGACAAGCATAGTTGCCTTTTACGGCAAGCATGCGTTGCTGAAGACCTATTCTGACCCATGGGTTAATTCAAACGTATGGATCCATATTGAAGGACTGAAATGTAGGTATCTTTGTGGGTAGCATCTGTAATGGTGATGAAGTTTTGATAAGTCACTTGCTTGGTAATTGTGCGATTTTTGGTTACACTATTTTGACTTGCAACACAAAGTATATATTTCTCCTGAGCATTGTTTATTTTATCGTCAGTGAGTGACCATACACCCTTATGCTATCAATAGGAGTGATAAATGCGTTTACGAATTGCGCAGCACAGGTCGCAAACCAGTCTAGATTTCTGCTATATCATCCAGGTACTCACAGGGAAAAAACAATAACAAAGGCAACAACCAGTCCCCGGGAATTGCTTTAGATCAGTGCCGCTTTAAGTGTTCAGCCACAGCAGCTTTCCATACCACTGGGGTATGATGACAAGCAATCAACCAAGACAACAAGCCTGCCCGCAATGGAACACCAAATTGTCTCGAATGACTAGCATCGGTTGCAGGGGACCTATTCTAACCAGAAATCCTGGTAACATGAGAGTACGTACCTGAATAGTTGCCTTCCTGGCCTTGTCTGTCATGATCTCTGTGTTGCCGTGTTCATCCTCCAGCTCGTCCTCCAACTCACTGATACGAGCCTCCAGGCGACGCTTCTCATCAAGGAATGCATTCCTGGAATAAACATTCGAAAATGCTCATTCCCAAAACCACTTTTTTAATCTTCAAGTTCTTGTTTCCTTTTACTCAATAATCAGCATGTCTGTGCAGCCAAATGTGCAGGACGAAAACACACTAATACAAAGTAGCATTCACACTGCACAATTCTAAATGCAAATGTGTATGTCTTAAGCTGGTATGTCACTGGCTTTAAACATTGCAGTGTTAGACATTAAGGCGGATGCTTGAGTCTGTAGAGTTTTCTGCTATGACATACATAATTAGTGACACTTTAAATGTTGGATGGCCAGAATCCCTTGACTATTATGCTTAAATTCTAACAAATAATTACAGGTAATCAAACTTGGGTCTAAGGCTTGACAATGAACCAGGATTACCAAGCATCGGAGATTAATGTCAGTCAGTCAAATCTATGGCAACAAATGCTGCAACTCACTTTCCACTTGCAAGTGTTGTGAGTTCGTCTGCGAGTTCATCACGCTCTCCCTCCGCATTCCTCCTGGCCCTCTCAGCCATGGACAACTCCTCCTGCACCTTCAGCAGCTCTGCCTCTAGGTTCTTTATCTTCCTCTCATTGTCCTTAAAGCTGTTAGCCATCTCCTCCCTGGATATCCGCAGCTCATCCAGCTCACGCAGGTATTCCTTGGACTGAGACTGGGCCCGTTTGTACTGCTTCACTGCATCGTCCTTCACCTTGTTGGACATCTCCAGCTGACCTTCAAGATCTTTTAGGTCAGCCATCAGCTTGTTGCGAGCACTCGTAGCAAGGGATCTCTGTTTGCGTTCATCTTCCAATTCTGCTTCCATTTCTCGCAACTGTAATATGAAAGGAAAATCTGAGAGTGTCTATTCACTTTCACACTGAACTTACCCTTTGTACTATCAGCTCTATTAGCAGGAACCTATCCAAAACTGAGATTGGAAACTGAACCTGACAATACCCATCCATGTGTAAAATGGCAATGACACAGCTGAGACAACTGTTTTGTCAAAGGTTGGACGTTCCCTAATCATGAACAATAACCATCATAATATTTCATGTCACCATAGACCATAATTGTTTAAATTTTTTTAATTTTCCAAATTATCTCTTCAAAACTAAGTAAGCTGCTGGGTAACACCAGCCACAGAACTATTTTCACAAGGTGTGAGAATTTCTGAATAATGTCTCATGACCCTGATTCAAATGTTTCGGATCGAGTGAGCAGTGTATCATTTGTTCACCCATCTAAAAGCTATACATCCTGAATACCTTATACTTTACATCTATGTAGGACTTAAATCAAACCTACGTGCAAGATAAGAGTATCAACAATTGGATTGTGCTAAGCCAATCATAAAACATACCTGCTTAAGAATTGACTTCTTGGCGTCATCGACCAGGTCATCCCGTCCCTGCATGTCGCGGTCATACTGAGCTCTGAGGGCCTGCATGTTGACCTCGAGACGGAGCTTGGCGTCCTCAGAGAGCTGCAGCTCATCCTCCAGTTCCTCAATCTGCGTCTTCTGCTCATCCACCTGCTGCTCCAGCTGGCGTCGTGCCTTCTCCAGGTCATGCACCTGACACATGGCATTAGGAGTGTGTGAGTGAGCGGGTGAGTGAGTATGGTTTTACACCGCCTTTAGCAATATTCTTGCAATATCACGGCGGGGGACACCAGGAAAGGGCTTTACCCATTGTACCCATGTCGGGAATCGAACCCGGGTCTTCAGTGTGACACTTGTCACAAGCGAACACTTTAACCACTAGGCTACCCGGCCACATCCATGGCATTAGGAGTTGTGATCACTCATTAAACATAATTTTCTGGTACATCACAGCATGCCACCTAGATGATGTAAGAAACCCTCAAACTACCAACATTGTGGACATTTGTCACTGTGATTACACCCATGCTAACAGTGCAAGGCTCAGTATACAAGATTAGTATATCAGGGACAGGTGGCAATTCAGACTACAGGGCTATGCATCACAACTGATTTATTCATTGGAATTACAACTTACTGTATCTGCCAAACCCCAATATTGTTTTGGTGGTCAATTTGTTTGTACCCTCAATTTTTAAAACCAGATAAAATTGAAAGGCTTGGGAGTTAAAACTCCTGCCATGAAACTTTAAAAGATTAGCCAATTCAAGGAGACAAACTCTTGTTGTGAAGAAGTGCCTATTTCCTGCTTATACAACTCTGAAGACCCTCACAAAACTGAAGTCTCTCTGATGCTAATCTACTTACATTTTTGCCAACGTCATCCTTGGAGGACATGAGATCGTCAAGCTCCCTGGCCTGTTGTTGTTTCTGCCGGTCGGAAGACTCCAGCCTCTCTCTCAACTCCTCCAGATCCCGGTTCAGGTTCAGGATCCTTGTCTCCTTCTCCCGACTCTCGCGCTCGATGCCATCACGCTCGGCGGCAAGCCTGTAGATACAAGCAACTCCTATCAATTTCAGGGCATTTTAAGGCATTCTAAATTTGCATGCTGTATGAGGTTTTAGTTCTTTTTACGGAGACAGTGGATGAAGCAAAGATGAGGATAGAAAGATAATGAAATCCATGGTTCCCAGGTCCCTTCGTGACAGCTCCTCATTTTACAATTCATTACCTGTGAAGCCATGTCATTTTCACATTTTACAGTAAGTACACTGAAGTTGTTCGTTCTTGTCAGCAGGACAAGGAAACTGGTAGCACCTGCCCCTTTCCCCATAGCTAGCTCCACAACCACGCCCCGATTCATTATCAACAAACATGCAAAGTATGACAAGGTAGACACCATTTATGGATAACAACTTCTTTAATACTGTTAAGCGTCATTTCCGTAAAGATCCTTATACCATTGTCAAGCAAGACTGAATGAGGGACATTGTACAGAATATATATAATAGGTGGAGGATTAACAGTAGAGGATTAACAGTAATGACAATTGCATATATGAGTGGGATAACATTATTAAGTAATGACAACAACGGTATAAGGAAATGTTGCTTTTTACAGTATTAAAGTTGTTATCCATAAATTGTGTCTACTTTGTCATCCGTCAACTTCTAAGTAATGCCTATCAAACAATTCATGCAACAGTGAATGTCCCTACTAAAGTAAGAGAGAGAAGTTGTGGATGTCAGCTTCGTTATTATGACGAATAATGTTTTGGAGTATATGCTTACCCTTCATCAGGTCAATGACTGCTTATTTATTTATCTGATGACGGAGTATGCACACTCCAAAATGTTGTGTTCCTCATAATAAGTTGACATCCATACATTCTCTCTTATGTTATGACTTCCCAATGCCATTCAAAGACTTGATACTTAAACTACTTGAGGACTACAAAAACTGAGCACCAAATCCAAGTCCTTAACTAGTTCCTACAAATATGGTGTACTGGGGAGCCAAGCAAACCTCCTTAGAGGACAGAAAGCACTACCCACCTTTCTGAGATGGCCTTCTCTTCATTGAGCATCTGGTCGAACTTGCGCTGTTTCTTCTCCATCTGACTGGTTGTGGACCTCTGACTGTCACGCTCAATTGTCAGGTCCTCGACCTAGTCACAAGTATCTTGTGTTACACATACATGAACAACCTACAACTGCTTTGAAAGATTAAAGAACTGGCGTCAATATATACATTTATGGAGTCAATTCTCATGTATGTACATGTCTAATAAACTTCACAGACTGCTTACTTAATCATTAACAAACAAAAGAACTGTAGATGAAAATACGAAATTGAGACATCCCTAATATTTATTAACAACTTCTATGTGCATTCAGCCTACAAAATTTACCTACAATGTTCTTTTAACTGGTATCACGAACAACCCTATCCTTTAATCACGATAATGACAAGCATAGGTTGTGGTGGACCTATTCCCCCCTGGAGTCCCCGCAGTGGTCTTACTGACTACGGCACTTGTAACTTTAGCCTACCTCAGCCTGCAGCTTCTTGCGGGACTTGTCCAGCCTCTCGTTCTGTGTGCGAGTCTCATCGAGCTGGGCCTGAAGAGCATCCATATCACGAGTGGCCTTCTTTCTCAATTCCTCCATAGCCTCAGCATTCGCAGTGTCATTATCAAACTTCTTCTTCATTTCAACCATCTGCATTCACAGAGTGACGTCTATTAATCATACAGTTTGCCAATAAATAAAAAAAAACTTCCTTCACTTCTTTTTTGCTGGACTAAAACCTTCCAATTTGACATGTACTTGACAAGTATTCAGCTAGCTTCAATCATAATCACCATACCAGGCAACAAACACCTTCCTGGTCAGCTTCAACCAAGACACCACATACCCTATTATTAGCTTCCACTATCTGCCTCTCCAGATTCTTCTTAGATTCCTCCTCCTCCTCAAGTCTGTCTCCGAGTTGGTTGATCTCATCATTAGCCTGACGCAACTTAGATTGGGCAGACAGCTTTTGACGAGTCTCCTCTTGCATTAGATCCTGAAGTACATACAGATTTACACATCAGACAAACAACAAAAACTTTGACACGTTAAATTTGATAAGACAGCACCTTTGCATGAAAGCAAGCAGCTGTAGGAAAAGAAGGACGTAACTAGTCAGAGATAGGCATTGTGTTAGTTGTGGAATTAAACTGCTCTCCTATTCAGATATTGAAACAACATATGACCATTGTCTGTAAAGGTTTACTTCTCCATGGCAACCTTATTTACATCTGGTGTAGAAAATAATTGGGGAAAATCACTGCTCCAATGAAATGAGAGATATGGACGGTTGTGCAGTATGGAAATACTCCCAAGGGGCTGTACTGTCAATTTGTTTATTGTTTATGCCGCACTCCATAATGTTAGAGCTATATGGCAGCGGTCTGTCATTAATCAAACCTGACCAGACAATCTAGTGAACTATATCGTGAAGAACGATTGACGTCCTCGGGGTATTATGGCACGAAATCAACCAAATCACTGATTCTGACACCGATCCATTTGGTCGACTCTAATAACCATCATAGGTTGCTAGGGACCAATTCTAAACAGGATTCCCACAAGGTGTACTGTCAATAACCCTCTACATCTGATCCTCTGTGCCATACCTGAGCATCAGCCAACTGGGTGTCGAGACTGGACACCTTGGAGCCCAACTGCATAGCCTTAGTCTCCGCTTGCTCCAGCTGCTGGCTGGTGGTGTCCAGTTCGGTGGCCAGCTTCGTCACCTTCTCAACAGTCTCGCCTCGGCCCTGATCCAGCTCCTGCAGCTTAATGGAGGCCTCCTGCAGCTGCTGCTCGGCCTGCTTCCGCTTTCGCTCCGACTCCTGCTTGGCCATCTGGACCTGCTTCAGGTCATTAGCCAGGTCCTGGTTCTCGGCCTCCAGGGTCGTCTTGTTCTTCTCCATCACGTTCTTGCCCTGAAATGTATCACATAAAATCAAATAGGAAGCTGGCATGCACTGTTTTCAGGAAATACAAACTAACTGCAGAGTGACAAACTACCAGGAAGTGCTAGATAGATATACTTTTCATATGGGTACTCTAGCGCACACAAGAAAGAAGTGAGGTTTTCCAGCCTTATGTTTGAGCAAGAGCACTGGGCAATGGAAGACTATTATCCAAATGACTGATTATGGATAGTTGACTGTGTAGAGGACTGCTGTTGAAAATCTAAAGATCATAAAAGTATGATGACAAACAAAATACAGGATATTAGCAATGACGTTATAGAGGTAGGGTTTTTGCAGGAATTTTCGTGTGCGTTGTTGTGATCAAGTATTTATTTACCTTCCTGACTGTCTCGATCTCTTCGCTGAGGTTCTCCATCTGCTGTTGGTACTTGTGCCTCATGTCCTGGATGCTCTCCTCATGCTGACGCTGAGACAAGTCTAATAACTTCTTCAAGTCCTTGATCTCAGTCTCACGCTTGGTTCTCAGCTCCACAGCAGCAGCTGTGCTGTCCAACTCGGCCTCAAACTCCGTCTTCAGAGCCTCCAATTCCTACAGGAAAACAGTTTAGAGCATCAGTTGCCACACTTTGACTGTTTGTGCAATACTAGCTGACGGGATCTAAGGAAGTGCAATGAGTGACTTCCTGTTTTAATGAAACTCTGAACAGTATGTCAGTTAAATCATAAGTCAATTAAACATATGTGGAAAGTGATTGGAATATGTGTCAAAGACTTATAGGTGTTGACCAAGGACCGTAATCCGCTATTCAAATTCCACTTAGTTAGTGAACAGGATTGTATATACAATGAGTACCTTGAGTGAGTGAGTGAGTGAGTGAGTGAGTGAGTGAGTGAGTGAGTGAGTGAGTGAGTGAGTGAGTGAGTGAGTGAGTGAGTGAGTGAGTGAGTGAGTGAGTGAGTGAGTGAGTGAGTGAGTGAGTGAGTGAGAGAGAGAGGTTTTACGCCGCTTTTAGAAATGTTCCAGCAATATCACGGCGGGGGACACCAGAAATGGGCTTCACACATTGTACCCATGTCGGGAATCAAACCCGGGTCTTTGGCGTGACGAGCGAACGCTTTAACCACTAGGCTACCCGACCGCCCCTTGGCCATGTAACCGAGTGTAAAAGTGAAGTCTGGAACAGGTACAGTGCACAAGTTGTTACCAACCTCATTAAGGTCCCTCTTCTGTTTCTCTGCCTTATTCCTGCTCTCCTTCTCCGAGTCCAAGTCCTCCTGCAGTTCCTGAATCTGGTTCTGAAATTCTCGGATCTGCTTGTTCATGTTCGACCTGGCTATAGACTCCTCATCAGTTCTGGAAGATGGACCACATAATATGCACCCATGAACTCCGCCACTACCACAATCATCGGTGAATCTTTCCATCTGTGTTAGCCATCATGGATATTAAGTCTAAATCCCTTCACCACCACTAAAATGTTCATTACTTCCCCAAGTGGTTCTTACATCTAAAAGCCCTAGACATGGTCCAACAACCACTACTATCATTACATTCCAAGTGGTTCTTACTTCTGTAAGCCCAAAGATGGTGCCCACAAGCAATACCATCATTGCATCTCCAAGTGGTTCTTACTTTTGAAGGGCCTGCTGCACTTCCTCCTCGCGTCTGCTGAGCTGGGTCTGCAAATCCTCAACCTGCTGCCTCTTCTCGTTCAGCTGGTCACGCAGGTCATTCAGCTCCGACTCCAGTCTGCGCCTGATCTTCTCCAGCTCCTGGCGAGCCTGCTGCTCCTTGCGGAGTCGTTCCTCAAGGTCGGCAATGATGGCCTCATACTTGTTCTTTAGCTTGCCCAGCTGCTTTGCCTTCTCCTCCTCTTCCACCATTTGTCCCTGGACATCATTCATACGCTCTTCCATCTGTTTGCGCTCCTTCAGCAGTTTCTGATTCATGTCCTCAGCTACTGCCATGTCCTCCTCTATCTTCTTCATCTTGGAATCATTTGTCACTCTCTCCAACTGCAGTTTCTGCCGAGCCTGTTCCTCCTCCTCCAGCCTGTAAACACATTGGTCATTGACTGCAGGAGCAAGCACAACATAGAAACTGTTCTCATTCCGTCACAACTTTTAGTATCATATGTTTTATTAATGAGATACAGATTATTGTTAAAAAAAAGAAAAATCGGCAGGTGGAGGAAAAGTGTCTATTCTCTGAATTAAGGAGCTTTAAACAATACCACACCTGGCCTTTTATGATAGTAATAGAAATAACCCTGGTTTGAACTAGCTGGGCAAGTACGTACTGTTCTTCTAGATCCCCTATTGTTTGGCTGTACTTCTTCTTCTCATCCAATAGGGCATTGCAGCGATCTTCCTCCTCTTCAATGCGCAGCTCCATATCATGCAAGACATCCTCCAGCTCTTGTTTCCGAGCAGCAAGTCGAGCACGAGCCTGGTTAGCAAACAAATACTCCATGAACCACATGTTTCCTCATTATATGCAGACACAGTTACAGTGAAGTAATTTTGGCACATATTAACTTTAAGATTGTAATGCAAATACACAATGCTACATAGGCCTACCAAAAACTTGATATTATATTGCAACTGTGGAAACTCTTAGTCTACAGAAGATACAAATTGAGTAACGGCTTGGTTGGTTGTTCTATGCCGCACTCAGCAATATTCCAGCTATATGAGGGCGGTCTGTAAATAATCGAGCCTGGACCAGACAATCCAGTGATTAATATCAAGAGCATCGATCCACGCAATTGGGATCGATGACATGCATTAACCAAGTCAGCGAGCCTAACCACCCAATCCCGTTAGTTGCCTTTTACAACAAGCATGGGTTGCTGAAGACCTTTTCTACCCCGGAATCTTCACGGGTCCTGAGTAAAGGCAAGCGTTTTGGAGAATCCTTACTCATTTTCACTCCAAAACTTACGGCTTATTAACAATAAAGAAGTTGTCAATCAATAACTTATAACAATAACAATAACAATAACTTGATTCTTGAGTACACCACTTCAAATGCCTATCAAGGATAAAGTCCAACATTGTCTTACAAAGTACAAACTTTCACAAGTAATTTCTACCATTCAATGACCTTGACTTTTGAGATTTCACTATTGGCACTAGTTATATCTTCAGTGAGTCAGCAACACTCCAACCACATGATGTACATAAGGCATCGAGTAAGGACCAGGCAAAACAGTGTGTGAATGCATGGACAGTGCTACCCATCAGCCAAGGCACACAGGCCAACAACCTCATTTCCAAAGTTTACAACAATGACAATTCAGACAGGAATCCTCACAGGAGAGTTTTGTTTTAAAATCAAAGTCATCAAAATCATTGCTTCGAGTATTCACCTCCTCAGCCTCTTGACAGATAGCGCTCTCAGCCTCCAACTGTTCAGCCAGGATGTTTTTCTCCTCGATGATTTGTGCATAGCGACGCTCGACTTCATCGTAATCCTGCTTCTGTTTATCGAAACTGTCCTTGACCTTCTTCAGCTCCTCCTCGACCACCTTTTGCTTCTCCTCCTGCCCGGTCACCTGCAGCAGCGGCTTCACCTGGGAAGACCAAACAATTCATACATCAACCTACACCAAGGTGATTCTTCCACAACCCTTGTTTTCAATGCCCTGTCGCAGGTGACACGCCGTAGAGGCCATGATGACGACAAGAGATCGTTTCAAAGTAAACATAGCGCCAGTAGACAAGCCTATTCTGTGACACAGATAAAAGAAATTGAAACAAGCTTTACCTAACTATTCTCATAAACAGTTATGTTGACTGTTTGATCATGTGTTACAATTGTACATTTTAGAGCTAGAGATCTAAAATGATTTTCAGGGATTGCATTCATGAAGATTCTACAAAAAGTATCTTAAGGTGCCTAAAATAATTCTAATCTAAACATTTTACTTAAGTGTACATTCATAAAAGCTCCAAGAGCAACTTTCAGTTCAGTCCTAAGAGTAACTATATCTAAAGTAAATCCTATGCCATTAATAGAAATACAGGTACTCTTTGCCTTTGGAGGGAACATCATACGTGATGTGTCATGTGACTCAATAACAAGCACCTGTTCAGAAACAGGGTTCAAAAGAACATAACTCCAAGTTCATGCTGTGTCTAGGTAAAAAAAAAAAAAATCAATAATTTACCCAATATTATGTGTCATCAAGCATTGTCAAATTGTGTTATTGAGTCTTACCTGAACCTATGGATTGTTGTCTGACCATGAATAAGGTGCTACATTTGTAGACTTCAATTACATACAAGTAGGAGGCAATAGGAGGTGTATACCTACCTTAGTGAAGAGTCTCCACCACTGCCAGTTCCTCAGTTTCAGGTAAGCAGCACAGTTCCTCTGGATCACACGGATAGCATTGATCTGTTGCAGACGCCTCATGTGGTTTCTGGACAATAAAAAGCAAAGAAAATGAGAAAAGAGATTCAGTGTAAAGAGTGAGTGAGTATGGTTTTTCGCCACTTTTAGCAATATTCCAGCAATATCACGGCAGGGGACACCAGAAACGAGCTTCACACATTGTACCCATGTCGGGAATCGAACCTGGGTCTTCGGCGTGATGAGCGAACACTTTAACCACTAGGCTACCTGACCACCCCTTTCAGTGTAATGAACCAGCATGGGTGTATCAATTTTCTGACTCTCAGTAATAAAGTTTGGGGGCAAGAACATAGGGTGCCAGGCTGTCCATATGTGGCACATTTAAAACATTCTTAATATCTGCACAGGCTCAGAAGACTAAGCCTACTGTATATGAGGTTTTCAATGTTAGATGAAGAAAATCAAGCATCGACACACTGAACAATGAGTGTATCAAAACAGAAATGATAGTTTATATGGAACATGTAATCTACAATTTTTTTATAAATTTAAAGAAAAAGACACCAATAGTTTTTCACAATGTCATTTTTGGGAGCCCATTTCAAACGTGAATGCATAATCATGCAATATTTTGTAAAACCCTGGGAACAGAACCCGGTACTTTGGAGTGATGAAGGTCTGAAACACTCCCCAACACTCTCTTAGAATATAATTAAACTCATTAGGGTGAGTAAAGTTGGGTTTCATTTCATGCCTTTGTGAGCTTTCAATGTCAGCTTAATGCAGGCCCAAAGCCCAAAGTAATGCAGGTCTTAGTCAGCTACCACTTTGATGCAATGCACAGGCACAGGAATGGTGCTGACAAGACCAAGGATCATGATCAGTGTATTTGAACACACATCTTTGATACAAGCAAGTCTATGCTACACACTGCACAAAGAACTGGGACACTGAAACCCTTAAGGGGAGATAATCTGTACTCCCTCAAAGATGGAAAAAAGTGTCTAAATGACCAACCTTCTGGCCAACAGTCCCCTGGCAAGGGACTGGAACTGGATGATGATGTCGGTGAGCTTGAGGTCTCTCTCCTCCTCCAGGTGGGCCAACACTCCAGCACGGAAGAAGATCTTGCTCTGACCAACGCGGAACAAGTTGCCGTCCAACTCCAAGGCACTGATCTGTTATGAAACAACTAGCATGTTGAGATGTACATAATAGATTCACTTCAACTCATGTGTGGTGTTAACCACAAGAATACAGACACATCATGTGTACCACAATTAAGAGTTCTGATACTTACCATTTTCTCTACAGCCTTTTTGCCGTCCATGAATCCTCGGGGGATGGCATTGGGTGTGAGGATCTCATATCTCTGTCGGAACTCCTGGAAGAGGATTCTGTTGGGGAAACCTTGGCGGCAGATTCGGATGCCCTCCAAGACACCATTGCATCTCAGCTGCTCCAGCACTAGGGGAGAGTCTATCTTACCAGCCTGCAGTTGGAAAAACAAAACCATTAGTCTTTGTGACATGCACTTCCAGGGATGCAACATAACCTGAAACACTTACGAGCCCAACCTGAAACATTTACGAGCCCAACCTGAAACATTTACAGGCCCAAAAAGTGGATGCCCCTTAAAAACCATGAAATTCAACTGGCTTATTGAATACCTTTAACATTAGACATACTGACTCGCCAAATTCCATCTCTGGATTATGGAGTTGTATGAAAGTCCTGCCAAGAATGTATCAAGGGTGAGAGTGTCACTGTCACTTTTAATAATTTCTTCTACGTCAAAGCTGCCTTGTGTGGATATTTGAAAATATGCCTTGCCTCAAAGGCAAACTACACAAATAAAAAGTAGAATCATCAAAAACATGCATGGCGCTTATTAAACAGAAAGCATTTCAGCCAATCAATACATTTGTGTCCACAACAACCCTACATAAACTTATCCTGATTTCATGCTGTGTTGTGTTCCTTGCATCTATTTACCTTCTTCTCATGGTTGGGAATGATACATCTGACAAAGTTGGGGTTGGTGTTTCTGAGGGTGGCCATGAGTTTGGCGAGCTGCTCCTTGTACAGCTGGCCAACCGTACGGAACATGCCCTTGCGTGTGCGGGACCCGAACATCGTGTCCACAGCTGCAGCTGCTCCCATCCCCACAATCTCAGCTGAAACATGGAGCTCGCCATTATACATCAGCTTACGTTATATCCACACAATCTCAGCTGTAACATGAAGCTCGCCATTATACATCAGCTCGCTCAACTAACGACATATATCCCCACAATCTCAGCTGTAACATGGAGTTGCCATTATACATGAGCTTACGTTCTATCCACACAATCTCAGCTGTAACATGAAGCTCGCCATTATACATCAGCTCACTCAACTCACGATATACATCCCCACATTCTCAGCTGTAACATGGAGCTCGCCATTATAAATCAGCTCACTCAACTCACGATATACATCCCCACATTTTCAGCTGTAACATGGAGCTTGCCATTATAAATCAGCTCACTCAACTCACGATATATATCCCCATATTCTCAGCTGTAACATGAAGCTCGCCATTATACATCAGCTCACTCAACTCACGATATATATCCCCATATTCTCAGCTGTAACATGAAGCTCGCCATTATACATCAGCTCACTCAACTCACGATATACATCCCCACATACTCAGCTGTAACATGGAGCTTGCCATTATAAATCAGCTCACTCAACTCACTATATACATCCCCACATTTTCAGCTGTAACATGGAGCTCACCATTATACATAAGCTCACTCAACTCATGATATATATCCCCACAATCTCAGCTGAAACATGAAGCTCGCCATTATACATCAGCTCACTCAACTCACGATATATATCCCCACAATCTCAGCTGTAACATGGACCTCGCCATTATATATCAGCTCACTCAACTCACGATATATATCCCTACAATCTCAGCTGTAACATGGAGCTCACCGTTATACATCAGCTCATGGTTTGTATATTTCACCTACATCACAGCTATCTCTGTATAAGTGAGTAAGGTCCAGAAAAAACAACATAATACATATAATATTTCTAGTCAGAAAGTCAAAGCCTGACAATCACGGCCCTGTTCCTCGAAGTGACCTTAGCACTAAAAAGATCTTAAGTCATTCATATAGATTTATCAGCTGTTCTTTTACTTCTTTTTAGTAGTATATATATTCAAAGAGCCACTAAAGGCGTACCATCTTTCCAGATTGATGCTACGAAGTTATCCGAGGAAGCCTGCATCAATGATACCACATTTTCATTGAGAGGGTCCATGTTCTTGAGAAGCCAATTAGCAGCCTGGTAATCAACCTGCAGACAAGACAACAGTCAGTAACACACACACACACACACCAAAAAATTATGTTCAATCTGTTATTCAATTATTTAAAAAAAAATACATAATAAAATTTTAGTTTGGCAAATAAAGTGGTCTTTGAATGATGCATGCTGGGACTGCCAATCTGCCAGAGCCTTGTCCCTCTTTCCAATACCTGCATTGATCAGTATGGGACTGTATTTTATCATTTCATCAAATATTTTTTTAACTTTTGATATGACATATTTCTACATTGCCAAATCTTTTAAAGTATTGTATGACATTTTGGTTTACAATCAGTCAATGTCATTGAAACAAACTGACCTAAAACGCTGTGACCTAACAAGACACAAGCCACAATGAATAGTTGGGTCATACTTTGTGGTCATCCACTGAGTAACTTAAATACTTAATGGCCGGACATCAAACTCTATGGCAGGGTTATGTGTATGTGTAAGAATGATATTTTTACTTTGCATGCAGCAACATTCCACCTGTGTCGGCAGCCTGTGATTATCAGTCAGTGTAAGTGAAATGTCACCAGCCATCAGGGTGCCATGTCACCAGCCATCGGGGTGCCATGTCACCAGCCATCGGGGTGCCATGTCACAAGCCATCGGTGTGCCATGTCACCAGCCATCGGGGTGCCATGTCACCAGCCATCAGGGTGCCTTACCACCAGATGCATTTAGCTGCTTGGTTCAAGCATAGGTTGTCTGGGCCAGGCAAACAAGTAGTTGGAAACCTTGAGATGACAGGTCACATATAGTATTGAAGTGCCGCCTGGGCTATTTACTTACTCTGCCGGCGTAGTGGACAAGGGAGAAGTCAGCATCTGCCCTGAAGTCAGGTTTGTGGAACTTGGGGTGACCAGTGTGTTGGGCCGTCAGTTTCTCAACAAATGTCTTGTCTGTGGCCTTCGGGAACCAACACTCTTCATCCAGAAGAGCGAGAATACCCATCGGCTGTGGACAAATAACACAAGTAAGTAAGGTGACAGGAGAAAATTTGAAGGCTACATTTGACCTCTACCACAATCTTCCAGTTGAAAGTATGAACAAAAGATAGCTTTCTATGTTACTGTGTCACCTAAGGATTCACTTCAGTGCATTTTACGTTCTTTTAAATATAAGATCAGATATTATTTTGGCACAGATCATATTCATGTTTCGTATCTCTAGAGTATTCAGTCATTGATTCTCTGCTCGAAGTGATGGACAAGCTAACCTTCTCCAGAAGGTCAATTGTGGGTTGAAGATCAAGACCAAAGTCGATGAACTTCCATTCAATGCCTTCTCTCTGGTATTCTTCCTGCTCCAAGATGAACATGGTGTGGTTGAACAACTGCTGCAGCTTCTCATTAGTGTAGTTGATGCACAGTTGTTCAAAGGAATTCATCTGAAACACACAAAATGGTTGCTAGGAACATCCACTTGCAGATCACACAATTCCTGTGGTAAATAGAGAAGCACACATTATCAAAAGAAGAGTCTGCTGTTTCTATGAATTCTTTGATGTAGGAAGCTGTTTCTACCATACTGTCAATATCTAAATCAAGCATTTGGCATATCCATATAAAGGGAGTTGTCTCCCTTTGATCATTTACAGAAGATTATGTGACAATAAATCCAAATGAAAATATTTAGGTATTAAAGTAAGTGGTGACCTTAACCGAACCTGAATATTTATAAATTTATAAGCCTACATGAAAAAGAGAGAGACTTCCTTCATCTTTAATTTATAAAAAAAACATTATCTAAAAATATTTCTTATCATGATACAACAAAGTGTTCTGCCATATTATTCCTGGAACCATCTGTCTTCAGCATATGTCTGCCAAAACTCACAACGTTTCATGCAACAGTTGGACATTTAAGTTGGCAGATTTTGAATCAAAATGAAAAAGCATAGCTGGGACCATAAAGTTGGGAAAATGGGCCCCAAAAGCATGGCCATTCTTGCTAAAACTCTACAAGTCTAGAAAAGGTGACCGGAAACTCATCCAATCCATTGCTGACACTGATCTTACAAAACAGTCAATCCAAATGATAAATAAATCTCAACATCTGAAACAAAAGCATGCATTACAACATAAATATAGAAAGTGTTGTACTAATCAGTTTGAAGTAACGTAAATTACAATGAGTGTAAAGCACAAGAGAAGAAAGTGAAAGTCAGAAATAGGTAAACTAACCCTCCCAGTTGATCTTGTAATCTATTGCTAATCCCCTACAGGAACTGTGACTTGAAACAGGAACTTCTTACAATAAAAGTTAAATTTCGAAAATATCATGCACCAATTAATCTGTTAATATTTATCAAGAAATCTCACTTAACCATTGCCAATCAATGACACATGTAATCTGTGAAATCTCAATAAGACATAGGAATAGTTTCCTCCAATTTCAAACATTACAAGGCGATATCTTCCTACTTGTACTTGTGTGCCTTATGAAGGCATTGTTTTAGTTCCACTGACATGCACACTTTTGGTTAATTAAACAACTTTCACACCTGTTAGCAAAGTTGTTCAAAATTTAAACATATTTCCAATGTAAGAAAAACAAATACAGTTTAGTAGCTGTGTCAAGAGACGCCAACCTCTACATATTAGTGAGTGTTTCACATTTGTTGAAAACTGATGTCATGGAGTTAACGGGGCTCTTTTGAAAGCAACCACGTTCAAGGGTTGGCTTCTCAGTCTTTCAAATTAAAAGATGAAAACAAAATAAAGAGAATGTCATTTTATATATCTGATCATCTGGCCAGTAACGGGAAGCTTGATGTAGGACAAAAGCCCCAACCGATGCAGGTCTTTGATGATTACCACTGTTGCTGACAAACCTACAGTCGTAATCAAGACAAACCAGGACTCCAACCATCATAGCTTTCTGGCCTGCCTCAGGGACCAAATTCTGCACAGCGAATAGATGCACCTAGACAACTCCTATGTCCCCTAGTAATGGGAATAGAAATGCATCAACCAGGCCACATAACCTAATAAACATTAAATAGTTTTTAAAGCCTAGTACATCCTTTAATTCTTCAAGATTCATTGATGAGCTTTATTCTGACATTCATCAAAGTTGACGTCTCAGAGAAGTTTGCATAGTCAATGGTGATACCATGCACGATCATAGCAAACTTGGGAGCAACAACTGTTAGTGCCACACCAACAATTTAATCATTAATGCGACAGGAGAAACAAACATATTAAGGAGGAATTCTATCATGGGGAGAGAAAAATGACTTATTTCATTCTGTTGCTTCAAACATTTCCAGAATTGACCTCAACCCCCCCGAAAGTACAACAGAACTAAAAAAATTAAGGTTCAATAATATTTGAAAAAATACACGAATGAAAAAACTAAGGGAGAATAAACTTATGAAACAAGAAAATATGACATTAACATTCTCTGCTACAAGTTGGGAACAACACGTGCATGCTGTTTGCTAAACTTAAATCTCATAATGTTTGAAATAAGACAACAAATAACATTGTGAAATCTATTGGCAATTCACATGCTATTGAATGAAATAAGTGGTAATCGGACACTGCTGGACTACATCAGCCAGACAAGGGCACTTGCGAGCAAGTAGTTTACCTTTTCGGTGGACTGAAGGAGTTAAAATATGGAGAAAAATAAATAAATATGGAAAAGCAGAGAATCATTTGATGAGAAGTATTAAGAAGAAATGGGGTAAAATGGGAACATATCCGAGGGGTAAAAAGAAGAGCAATAGCAATGAAGGGTTTCAAAAACGATGCTTCGTCACACGGATTGGATTTCAACAAGGATGCAAGTTTTACCGATCCTGCTGCGACCGTAAAGTACATGGTATTTTTTTCGTCGTATACGTCTTCCTGACACTATGGCAAACAATGAAGTGATTGCAGTGATTTAATCAATGTATGTACCGGAATATGATGCTGTTCCTGATTGACGGCTGAATGCCGAGACAAAACTCAAGATGAGAAGCAGCAAATCGACAACAAACCACACACTATGAAAGGGGGCGATAAGAAATAGCCAGGTACAAGTACAGCGATCTTCCTTAATCAGGGATTTATCTAGGATGCCAAACTAATTGGGACAAATTGTAATATGAATTGGGAAATTTTAAATTCCCATTTGAATGTTTTTCTCACATTCGCTGAGGACTTGGGGCCGGATATCGGCCTCTGAGTAGGTCTAGATAAATCCCTGTTACCAATATGATCACATTACAGATCTTTTAATACTTAACTGCCTTAGCAACTAACATTCAAATTAACAGTTGCAATGGAAATCTCTTGATGATATTGTACCCTAATTTGAATGTATCAATTATATCATCATGAAAGGATTAAAAATAGATTTAACATTCTTAGGCAGATGGCCTTTCAATTTTGATTGACTGGAAAGAAATAACTTCTGATAATCCATATAAAACACATGAATAAATGAAAACACTGACACTAAATATAAATAATACACTATGTATGTATAGTAGTGCACACTTACGGCATCTATGTTGGAATGAACTGAATAACGATGAAGATGAGCCAAATAAAGACACAATAGGAAGCTATGGAAGCAGGAGATAGATGGGGAAACATCACAGCTAGTTACCTTGAAGATTTCGAAACCAGCAATGTCCAAGATACCAATAAAGCTAGCACCCTGTCTCTTTGTTCTGTCCAGCGATCGGTTGATGCGCGAGACGATCCACTTGAACATTCTCTCATACAATGCCTTGGAAATGGCCTCCACTGCAAACTCAACCTGAAAGATGAGGCGTCAAATCATCCATTTATTGTGTGTCAGTGTGATATAGTATTCATTTAGCGGAGTAGCTGAGACAGAAACTAATTTCTGAATTGCAAAGGTATGTAAGTAAGCTTCAAAACCAATCAGCTCAGGTGGATGTATCTTTTCCTCCTGTGAGAGTTATTGTTATGAGTTACCTCCCCTTAGCTTTACTTTCTCTTTTTCTCAAACAAGACATCAGATTACATTGTAAGGTTAATATTAAATGAGAGTTCCTCGTTTTAGAAACTTACCTGTGCTTTTGTCTGGGCCTTGGTTACAGAGTCCCTGCCGACCTTGATCTTGGGTTTGAGGAATGCTTGAGTGATTGCCGTCACGGGCAGACCAAGGAGATGGCAGGCCTTCTGAGCAACTACAGAGACAGAGATCCAATGTGCACAAAGTCAAAACAGCAAAACACATGTGTTGACACCCATATCTAGAGACTGTAAAATGGTGAAATTATACTACTCCAAAGTAAATTGTTTGAGAGGGATTTCTAAAAAAGGTGACAATGACAAAGTAGACCCCAAAAATATGGACGACAACTTTGCTATTACAGTATAATAAAGAAGTTGTTATCCATAATTTTATTGTCTACTTTGTACTCCACAGAAGTTACGGACAGCCCAATTCTTTCATATAACTACAGTTTACATGTCATGGCATGATAGATTTAGTAAAATCTAAATATTTTTTACATTTGTATACTTATCCTGCATTACTCCGTATTGCATTTACTGCTATGTTTGACAGAGAGACGAACTGTGTGAGATCCAGCTGCTGAAGAAAGTTGTCCCAACCAGCCCAGGAGGCAGCGCCCTCTCACAGTCGGCACGTGACCCGGAAGTCATGACGTCACACAAAAAGACATAACTGCTTTAAACATAACATCTGAAACTTCGTGGGGAGGTAGCGTAGCGAAAGGGAGGGCACTTAGACTTCGTAATGCAGGATAAGTATACAAATGTAAAAAATATTTAGATTTTACTAAATTTTTTAACTTATCCTGCATTACTCCGTATTGCATCTTTATCAGACGGCTTGGCCGGTGGGCATACTTGCAGATGTGAACCATATTAAACCCTCGTCAAGGTCCGATGAATCCGCACCGCATACAAGTGATGACCGGAACATCTACGACCATTCCTGTCTTCAGGAAACAAGAGTCGATGCAAAAACGAAACGCCCGAATAGGTAACCGAAATACAATGAGGCGTGTAGCCAAAATATATAACTTACCGAAGAGCGAAAGCGAAACGCAGTAGAACCTAGAGCTAATCTGAGGTGATAAACACCAGAGAGTTCGACGGGCCCCGCTCGGGGAATCGAAGAATCAGCGGCGTCGGCGGCAAAATCTACGACCAATCCCAAGAGCGAATGCGAAACGCAGGAGAGCCCTCTAGGCTGGAGGCAAGGAACACCGGTGAGGTCGACGGGCACCGCCCAGGTACCAGAGAAGCAGCGGCGTTGGCGTTGGCGTCGGCGCCGGCGCCGGTGTCCACATCTACTACCATTCCTGTCGTCAGGAAACGAGAGTTGATGCAAAAAGTAAAACCCGGATAGGTGACAGCAATAGAATGAGTCGGGTAACCCAAAACTAAAACTGACCTAAGAGCGAATGCGGAACGCAAGAGAGCCGTCTCGTCTGGGGTGATAAACACCAGAGAGGTCGACGGGCCCCGCTCAGGGTATCGGAGAATCAGTGGCGTCGGAGATAGATGACCTGTTGGGCTACAACCAGGGACCAAAACTTTGAACGCCGGCGACAACTTTCAAGGCTACATCACGGAAGTAGTGGTTGGTGAAGGCGGTGTCCGATCGCCACGAACAGGCTTCCCTGAACGACGGGATGGAACAGTATACCGTGAAGAACCAGTGTAAATAAACGATCGCCCTGATCTCATTTTATTTCAGGTAATAGCCTTTGGGGGGAGGGTCCAATCCGGCGGCTCATACGCTTTAAGGATGACCGCCCGGAGCCACAGGGAAAAGTATTCCGGCTGACCAACGACAGCGACGAAGGGGAGACCGGCAGAAAAAGGTGTTTCCTAGACTTGCGGCAGTCTTTAGATCGTAGAATAACCTTCAGTGCCCTTACTGGGCATAATGACGCTCATCCTCATCCTCGGCACCCGCACTGGACGAGGGGGGAGGGGACAAGGAATGATCTATCAGGCTGTCCTGGGAGTTGAGTCTTTACGCTGACGTCCCAGTACGGTCCATGATGAACGGCGCCCTGGGTACCGCATTCGAACCGGGCATGGGAGACGTCGAGGGCGTGCTGTACATGGACTCGAGCGGCAGTAGTCAAAACCAGTAGAAACACCCGTCTTCTACTTAAGGTCGTAGAAGGAAGACGAGGGGAGTGGTTCGAAGGGCGTTGAAGACCACATTCAGATCCAACGCAGGCGGTCCAAACTTGGTCTTCAGGTCTTCAAGACTGAACGAGCGCAGCCAGGCCCGTAGGTCGGGAATTTTCGTCTTTCTCCGATCGTCCGGGATGGCCAGAACGGAGTAGATGGCGACCAGGTATGTGGGGGTGGTAAGCCCTTCAACCGATGGGTGCTACACAAGTACAGAAGGAACTGATCCAGGATCTGCGGTGACGCTGTCATCGGATCCTGGTGTTTGTCAGAACAAAATGCCTGGAACAAGCATCATTTATCAGCATACAGTCCCCCTGTAGATGGACGGTGGGCTGAAGCAATAGCCTTGGTCGCTCTAGCCGAATAGCCCTTGGCTTTCTGCATGTGTGTCAGGCGTGCAGACGATAACATGCGGGTATGAGGGTGTGGCTTCTCATTCTAACAGACCGTGTGGATGGAGCAGAAGGTTGGACCACACCGGAAGTTCCAGGGGTTGTCTCTGGCTATGTTTCGGAGGTCGATAACCCAACTTCTGGCTGACCAATAAGGCGAGACCAAAGTCAATGGCAGGGGTCGAGTGGCCTGGATCTCTGAAGAACCGTGGGAGGGAGAACCGGAGTCGGAAAAGCGTACGCGCGTAATCCTTCTCAGGAACGATGGAAGGCTTCGACTGCCACAGCGGTCGTATCCGGCACAGGTGGAATGGAAGACGACAGCTGGCCACATTCAGATATGAGGCAAACAGATCTAGGGGCGAGAACTCTGGGTCCGCAAACACCACACTACGGTGACGTCGTCAGTGGACACGATCAACAGGGCGTGACCGAGAATGCACTGTCAGCAAGTGCCGTCCTGGATAAGCATTTATCTCGAGGCTGTTGCTGTGCCAATGGTGTTGATCTCTGGATCACAGGTGGTCACAATGTGGGCTGGCGTGGGCCACTAGCCACTGACAAGGTGGCAGGGGAGGTAGTCAGCAACAGGGGTCTGCGATTGCGTACCGTCGGTACGATTCGGAAAAAGGTGTGATCGCCTGCGAGCCAACCTCAAGTAGACGAAGTAAACCAGCTTCACAATCGACCGCCGGGGCATCGACGTAACCGGGTAGTAGGAAGTCGAGGCAATATGGCCATTGCACGAAGTAATGAGATCGTTTTCATCCCTGAAGCGGCGTATAAGTACTCCTGTTCTTATATCGAGGTGACGATGGAGGACGACAACACGATACGAGGCAGGTATGCAACAGGGGTCAGTGGGACGGCCGAGGGACTTTAAGTATCAAATCGACACTGTGTCCGGTAGTCAAGGCGGAAGATAGGAAGGTGTCGTAGTCAAAAAAAGATCAAACCGGACGAAGGAAGGCGATCTCTTCCATCCCTTGAACGCCTATAGGCGCTATCGTTCTTATAGCGAAGGGTTGATGAAACAAGGTTCCTCGTGACAGCCGTGTTGGTAGAGGAGGTCTATTGTTTCCAACATCCGTGCATGGATGGACTGCGACAGGCGCCTGGTTGAGTGGTATCACCAAGCGTACAGGTAGACATGGAAACCAATCTGTAGAAATACATGGCACCCCTTGCCATGGTAAGTTGACCTAAATCCGGTCGGAGTTGTTGACAGTCCGAGTACTTGACACGTGACATGTAAATCACTCTGCGCAGTAGCCGAGAAAACCGCCTTGGAGTCGGAACTGAGGTGCAAACTCCACACACAGACAATCCTCAATGAACTATGTGAGAGACGATCAAGTGGTGTACCCGAGTTTTGCGATAAAACACGGAACCCCATGGGCGTCGTGCAAAACCCGGGGAGCGCCGAGGAAGAGTCTCTCTCAGGAACGCTGGCGCTAGGGTAGGGTAGAACAGCGTTGATGTCTGCGATGTCGACGAAGTAAACTCTTTGTAAGTGGATGTCGTCGTCGAATCTGAAAACAGACGCTGTTCACATGACGCTCTGTTTCGATGGAAACCCGCAGGTCATCTCTCCGGAATCATAGCGCTTTAAACGACGGGATTATGGATAACGTCTCAGTGGGCAAGTTGAATCAGACCAACTGTCTATTGGTTGAAATGATTCCACCCAGGAAGTAGAACGATATTTACGATCCCAAAGACCGACGGGAGAGTAGTGAAAGGAGCGGCGACAGTTGTTTCACCATGCTTCTCCGTGTGACGAGTTATGAGACGGCAGCAAGAGAAGAGGGCAGTGGCGCCGGGGAGGCGATTGCCGATGATGCCCCTTAAGCCGCAGTAGAAGATCGGATGGTCGGCTCGTTGATCTGAGCTTGATAAAGCTTGTTGATTGATCTGAAGCTTGTTGAGCGCCGAAGACATCAGAGTCATCGGAGGCGCTGAGTCAACAGCTTGTCATGAACAAGTCATGAAGCTTGTTGAGCGCCGAGACATCAGCGGCGCCGAGTCATCAGCTTGTCATGAACAAGTCATGAAGCTTGTTGAGCGCCGAGACATCAGCGGCGCCGAGTCATCAGAGGCGCCGTGTCATCAGAGGCGCCGGGAGCGCCGAGACATCGGAGGCGCCGAGTCATCAGAGGCGCCGGGAGCGCCGTGTCATCAGAGGCGCCAGGAGCGCCGTGGGCGCCGTTGGCGCCGTGTCATCAGAGGCGCCGGGAGCGCTGGGAGCGCCGGGAGCGCCGTGAGCGCCGTGAGCGCCGTGTCATCAGAGGCGCCGGGTCATCGGAGGCGCCGGGAGCGCCGTGTCATCAGAGGCGCCGCGTCATCAGAGGCGCCGGGAGCGCCGTGAGCGCCGTGAGCGCCGTGAGCGCCGTGTCATCAGAGGCGCCGGGAGCGCCGTGTCATCAGAGGCGCCGGGAGCGCTGTGTCATCAGAGGCGCCGCGTCATCAGAGGCGCCGGGAGCGCCGTGAGCGCCGGGAGCACCTTGGGCGCCGTGAGCGCCGCGTCATCAGAGGCGCCGAGTCATCGGAGGCGCCGGGGGCGCCGGAGACATCAGCGTTGACGGTGTTGGAGACCGTGAACGGTCGTATGTCGTGCCAGGGGAGGCAGACTCTACGTTGGGAGCGCTGGAGCCGCCGGTGGAGTAGGAGACCGTGAACGGTCGTATGTCGTGCCAGGGGAGGCAGACTCTACGTTGGGAGCGCTGGAGCCGCCAGTGGAGTAGGAGACCGTGAACGGTCGTATGTCGTGCCATGGGAGGCAGACTCTACGTTGGGAGCGCTGGAGCCGCCAGTGGAGTAGGAGACCGTGAACGGTCGTATGTCGTGCCATGGGAGGCAGACTCTACGTTGGGAGCCGCCGTGAAGCTCCGCTGAGCGCTGCTGCCGTCAACGTAGGTGGGGGTCGACGAGCACGTTGAGCGAGGTGTGTCCTGGATACTCGCATGAGCTGAAGGATCACAGCTACGAATGACTGCAACATCGGCACTGCCTTGTGAAAGTACAGGGCGTCGTACAATCACGGCAGAAAGGGGCGGCCCCGACCAGATTTGTTCCCGCGGAAACAAGTGCAGCAAGGCAGAAAATCTGGAATTTAAGCAAAACATAACTATGTGGCAAAGCCACAAAGTGCGGGAAGCATAATGTGTGGCCAATCACAAAGTATGGGAAGCATAAAGTAACTCAAAAACAGTATATTTTATTAAAGTTTATGAGATAAACAAGTACGCTAAAAGGGAGCGAAAAGGCAAAGCCTTAAGCAAACACGTAACCATGTGGCAAAACCACAGAGTACGGGAGACATAATGTAACTCATAAACTTCGTATTATATTGAAGTTTATGAGAAGAAACAATTACGCTGAGAGGTAGCGAAAAGGCAAGGCTTTAAGCACACCAAAACAACATACATAAATGTAATGTATTACCCAAGCCAAAGAGAGAATTCAAAACGCAGAACACGACATTACGTGGCCACGTGGTGAATGGCCAAAATGGCGGGAAAGAAAACAAAATGGCGGGAACAACATTGCGCCCGTAAATTACTGTGACGTGAGCCACAGACGAGCGATAAACGTTACAATTTACGAATGGGAAGACCCTAAGGTCACGGCCCATATCAGGTAACAATGTAGCAGCATATAATGAATGTAGAAACACGCAAAATATAAAAAACAAATAATAAGCTTTAATTTCCACAAGGGATACAAAGTACGTCCGTCCGTGGAGGTGACAAAGCAGTTATGTCTTTTTGTGTGACGTCATGACTTCCGGGTCACGTGCCGACTGTGAGAGGGCGCTGCCTCCTGGGCTGGTTGGGACAACTTTCTTCAGCAGCTGGATCTCACACAGTTCGTCTCTCTGTCAAACATAGCAGTAAATGCAATACGGAGTAATGCAGGATAAGTTAAAAAATAGCTATAGTAATATGAAAGAACCGGGTGGTCCTTAAATTCCTTTGAGTAGTATATTAGCCTTGTTACCAATGAAATTTTCAACAACAATTCATGAGATTACTTAGTTGTTATTTTTGTGTGATGAATTACCGGTGTTGTCTGGCAAGGTGGCTTGGTCGGAGTTCCGCTCTGCCTTGAACCGCATGTTGCCGAACAGCAGCACAGCAGACACCACTCGGAAAACGGCTGAAAAAACAAACAGGAACTGATTAGAAATCCAGTTTTTCCATTTAAACATCTTACCATTGATATATCCATGTAAACAACTTACCATTGGCATGTCAATGGGAAACATATACCCATTGGCATATCCATGTAAAACATATACCCACTGGCATATCCATTTAAACATCTTACCATTGGCATATCCATGTAAACATCTTACCATTGGCATGTCCATATAAACATCTTACCATTGGCATATCCATGTAAAACATATACCCATTGGCATATCCATGTAAAACATATACCCATTAGCATATCCATTTAAATATCTTACCATTGGCATGTCCATGTAAAACATATACCCATTGGCATATCCATGTAAAACATATACCCATTGGCATATCCATTTAAATATCTTACCATTGGCATGTCCATGTAAACATCTTACCATTGGCATAACCATGTAAAACATATACCCATTGGCATATCAATTTAAATATCTTACCCTTGGCATGTCCATGTAAACATCTTACCATTGGCATATCCATGTAAACATCTTACCATTGGCATGTCCATATAAAACATATTACCTCTGGCATTTCCATATAAAACATATTACCTCTGGCATGTCCATATAAAACATATTACCTGTGGCATGTCCATTTAAACATGTTAATATTGGCATGTTGATGGACATATCAAAGTATTGGCATGTCCATGTAGATATCTTAAGATTGGCATGCCCACCTGACTGGTCATCTGCGTTGATGCCCATAATGGTCATGGCTTCAACTGTGCTGCGGAACTCCAAGACATCGTCAATGCCGCCGACGGGCATGTGGCCGTTTGTGAGGTAAGTGTAGTTCCTGATGTCCTCCAGCAGAAACTCCTCTGTGGATATAATGAATAACATTAGTAGGTATTAATAGAAAATAAACATCCTTGTATTTGTTATTGACTCATACAAAATATAAAAAAAATAAAGATAAATCATATATATTTACTTTAAAATTCTGCTTGGGAGAAAGAGGCATATCTGAGGTATTATAATTTCAAGATAAAGCACTGACAAAATTATTTCTAATCCTTGTTTCTTGAATGGTTGAATCTTATGTACAATAACAATCATGACATTTGTGTAAAAACGCATAAGACTTTTAGAGATTTAATAAAACCATGATCATCTTTCTTTATATTTTTTAATCCAACCTCAAAATTGGAAGAAGAGGGGGCATTTTCACAGTTAAAATGCAAAATATACTGTCAAATTAATGAATAAATTAAATAAACTTTCATATCTAAAAGGCCTTTAATGTGTCTTGCAAACAAAGAGTCCCCACATTTCAAGGGCATCATGACCCACTTTGCATAGAACGCTCAACGCTGAGTCTAAGTCAACATGTCTACCTTCATTCCTCATTATAATGTGGTCCAAACCTAGAGAGTAGTACATTACATGCTAAAACTATACAAAGTAATACTCAAATACGTAATGAACCAGGAACATTTATCACATTATTCTTCAATTAACTAGATTGTCTACCCCCTTAGACACTGCCTTATAATGGGGGCCCATTCAGTATTTCATCATCTGACAATGAACATCTACATACAAATAAAATGTCCATGACACTGAAATTCAAACTAATAAATGTATGTTTGTAAACCAGTTTGAGGCTCTAGTATGGAATGAACACAAGGAGAGATAATACCCTGGAAATCCCTTGCACATATTTAATGTGGGCAAGTTTGTGGATTGAATGCTGAGAACACCTCTGATGAAAGCAAGTGACCACAAGCATATAAACAAGGACACAGGCTGAATGCATGGATCAGAATATAGACTGCAGAGTGGACTGGAAATGCAATAGGATTCTCAATGTCCTGTTTGCACACAAGGTCCAATATCACTCTCTGAACAGTAGTGGGCATGCACCTATTGATCCATGCCTGTACATGATTCAGACACATCAAAAACTGCATAGATCGATGCATCTATAAAGTTTACAGAAGCACTGGTAGTATTGCAATGAATTTGCAGAAACAGATTCTGGGGGAAAAAACAAAACAAATCAAGATCCTAGACACTAGCAGAGCTATATATTGAGATGAGTGGCTATGGGTCAAGTAATCGATTACCCATGGAAACAATGACTACAGAAACATAGGCCCAAGAAACTCAGAAACAGAAAGTCCTATGTGTCACGTTCAAAACCCCAGAGCCCCTGGAGATCTGAACAACTGTGTATGTGTCATAATAAACCCTTGATAAACATCTTATTGCCCTACGCTTTGTTCACTCAGTGGTATTCTGGAAACTACAGTAAAGCCTTGACCAAGTCCTCAGGACCATTGAATACAGGTTGAATTATCTGTTGTTCATAATAAGAATAGCACCAGTAAGAACTTAGCCAGATCACCAATTACATCATTGATAGTGCTTGTTTGTTGTTTAACGCCGCACTCAGCAATATTCCAGCTATATGACGGTGGTCAAGTGATTGACATCATAATCATCGATCCATGCAATTGGGATACGATGACATGCATGAACCAAGTCAGCGAGCCTGACCACCCGATCCCGTTAGTCGCCTCTTACGACAAACATAGTGGTGTTATTTACTGACACTAGTCCCAGCCACAGTTCATGAAGGTAAAGGTATCCATAAGGCTAATTGTTTATTAAAAATTGGACAACTTTATTATACATAGTGCTCGACTAGTATTTAAAATGAGTTAAATTTTATCACTGATTTTGATGTAGTCGAGTGTGAGGTCACAAGGTTTAACTGTATTACACTGACCAGATATGTATTATTTTCTTCAAAACAATCTTCTAACTACTTACTCCTCTGTTGAGGCGTGGCTGCATTGAGGTACTGGTAGAACATATGGAAGCTCCTCTCATTCTCAGCTTGTCGCACAGCTCTTGACTTTTCCAGCAGGTCTTACATAGGTTAAGGTGTACTGAACAGAAACATGAAGAATCCATGGACTAATCAGCCATGCTGGCAGTTAGAATAGCATTCAAATTTAGGGATCCCATCAATGTACAACTTCTAACATGAGGGTTTTGACAAATACCCCTTGACTTTCATATCTGGTTTTGATATAGCCAGATCCTTCCATTTCTTGTGATTTACGTTAAATCCCTTGTACCCAAGCTTATAATTTAGGTCCCTAATACCGAAGTTTGTGTTAGCTTGTTCAGCGGCATAAAATATTTCCACTCCCTCACTGATCACTTTTTAACTGACCATCAGTATTCTGACCAAAATGCAAACCCATCTGCTTGTTCACTTGAAAGGATACATGTTTCAATGTTGGCACCTGATATGTAACCAGAAGAATCAAAGTTGATTCTGATGAATTTACCCTGAAACATGAACAAAGATGTCATTAAAGATCTACACACATCCTACAACTCTCACAGGTCTAATCCATCTCCGAAAGGAATTATTCAATTGTTTTTCTTGAACATGTACAAAACATCATTTGTTGGAGTTGACATATCATGAATACTTCATAAAACTAATACAGGTTTCTAGTAAAATCCAGAGGCTGCCAGTCACAAAGTAATGTGATAGCATGAACAGATATCAACTGCAGTGCTTCAATAAAAAAAAATGGGGGGGGGAAACATTCCCTACAAAAACACACACACTTATCTTGATCTGCTCAGATACCAGTTTTTTGTATGAAGTATGTTTCTTACATTGATTACAGCAACAAAGTTTGTATAAACACAATTAGCAATTCCACTCTCAAAAGAACTTACAAATCGAGAAGAGTTGTCATTCTTGATGGTCTTGGCATTGCCGAAAGCCTCGAGGATGGGGTTAGCCTGCAGCAGTTGGTTCTCAAGTTCCCCCTGTAATGATGGATGCTGAGATGTGATGCAGGAAGGGGAAGGGCACCTGCGATGGTGAGATGAGGTGGGTATGGGGCAGCCAGTGTGCACTACACAGTACCTACATGCACTCCCTACAATCAGGGCGCATATAGAATTCAAAATTTAGCTTGTTCAAAATTAAAATTATTATTATTTAAGAATTGAAGGTTTGTGAAAATGATAGTCCAGCTCTTTAGGGGTACAGGACCAATGGACTCAAATTAGTCTGAAACAGAAGGTCATTTCTATTTAATGATTCACTTTTTATGCTTTTTATTGATTCGGATGAAAAAGTATTCGAAAGAAGGTATGATAAAATTGTAAGACAGCTGGCTGCTCCTGATACATCCAATGGAAAATGTAGTGAATTAGTAATGGTGACATGGACTAAAACAATGAATGGAAATGTTGTGTATGATGATGGAATGAACACACGGGAATGAAAGGATAAGCAGTGATAGTCATCGAAACTGATTAATTAACAGAACAATAAAGTCATATATAGAGAGAAATCTTTTTGGAGGTTAAATCATCACCCACTGAAATACTTCAAATATGAAAAAGGAATCCTCATCTTTCTGGATTAGTCATGTAGAAAATACCTTGTATGAAACACCATAAAATAAAACAATAGTTAAGCGATTTTGAAAAAAATGTCATAGCTTAAATGCACCTGAGCTTAATGATGCAATGGGACATGACACAACAATGAACAACACATGCACGGGATGAAGCAAGATGATACATGCAACAACATGATGATGATGATGATGATGATGATGATGATGATGATGATGATGATGATGATATAAACCAGGTAAAAACAGATGACAGATTCTGGTATACTGAACTGCATCAACATTGGCAGTTTACCGTCCAATTTGGGGAATAAATGACAGAAGTGAACAATACGAAAAGTTTATTGCAGCTAGTTGAATCAAATTTAGAGAGATCTTTCTTTCATTTTCTTTTTTAGAACCAAGATCCTTAAATAAGCTGTTTAAGAATAGTTTGGAAACAAACTGTTCTAGCTTTAAGTAAAATGAAGATAAGAATTAGTAAATGCTTAACTAAAGGCATCTATGTTGTTACTGTAGAGACAATAAAATTAAATAGAAATGAAACATCAGTTTAATGCTGTTCAGTTTCAGAGTCAAAAAAAAAAAAATGGCTGATATGATACAATGCAAAGGTGGTATGAAATCTTGAACATGATTCAATCTCAAAAGAATGAATTTGCAAATATTCTATAACTATAAAAAAAACATTCTTTTTTTTCTTCAAATGCAAAACCTATTTAAGGGTAAATCTAATCTACTTTCAAACAGGTGTACACAGTTAACAAAGCACTCTTATCACATGACAATCTAAGTTGTTCACCAGATATTTCTGTTACCTCATTGACAGTTTACTCTTCTAAAACACTTTCCAAAATGATGAAATGAGATCCATTTGGTTAGTCTTACATATTGAAAAAACATGATCGATTATATACACAACAGCACACTTAGCATATGAAATTATTAAGTGCTTTAGTAAAATACCAACCAAAACATTTTGAAGAATTATCTCAAAATCACGAAAATGTTCTCAAAATTGTTTTTGGTAAAATATAAAAAATGGTGGAAACAAAACTTAAAAATTGGTTTGGTTTTATTGAGATCTCCGAAACAAATTACCTCACAATTCAGTGTAGTGCAGTTTAAGCATGTTTCTATGTAAACATTGCAAGTCGTAGAATACATATATACAGAAGCAAACACTGTACATAAGAAAAAAATAAATCACACAATAATATAGGTTTTAGGGATAAGTGCAGATCTCCAAGCTTAATCATTTCAAACTTAATTAACTAAAACACACACAGCTGATCCTCTGGTCGGTCCATTACTTACACAGAACAAAGCCAAATGGGAGACCTTTAAATAATCAGGAAATAATCACAATATGGTATACGCTTCAAATTCTGCAAAATAATGTGTCTATTACATCTATCTGCTAATTAATACCATAATAAGTAATATCTACAGCCACTAATGAGCCTCAGTCTAAGCTGCATTGATAACCCATGGAGAAAGAAACACTCTCCAGCATAGGAATGAACTAACAATTCAAATCACAAAACACTGGCAGAAAGATATGTATTCAATTGGTTGATGCGACTTTGGTCTCAAACCTTTTTATTTTCCCCTCGAACAAAAGCACAAAGGGGTGTAACATCATTTAATGATAATGAACCACGTGGTGTCATGTTGTGGATCAGTGCCACATCAAATTGTTTGAAGTCCTTGCAAGAGTTTAAACAGTGCCTAAGAAATCTTTTGTCATGATTTTGAATCACCATGAATTTTTAAATCTTGATGAATGATCATTCAGGGCCAAAATGATTGATGAATATTGTGGTTGAATAATGTATTTTCTCTTATCTTGCAGCCAGTGGTTTAATCCTATGTGGAGAGAGTTGGGATATGCATCAACAGGAGGGTACTTACAAGGTTGAACTCTTTGTTCTAGGTGGCCCACAACAGAAAACAGAGTAACATGATCATCATCTGCTTACGTCATGCATCCTACCATGCTTATCTATCTACCTTCTACCACAACTAGGTAAAGCAGTACTAGAACCAGTAAATGACTTCTACATCTATCTGTACAACAATTACTGTTCGTGAGACACACGTTACTCCTGCGCAGTGATGTAAGTATGTAGAGCATTGTTGATAGAATGGTACTTTAACGATAACTCAAGCCAATTGTTGTTAACTTCACAAAGTATCACTACTTGGTTACACAAATTGCACGTGTGCTTATACACGAACTGCATAGTGCTTACATGAAATCTTGTATTTTGTCAAAACGATAAACTGTGAAAAGTGACAAGCGTTTAATGGCAAATCCGCCAACATTGTGAGAAGTGTCAAAATTCAAAATGGCCGACTTGGCAACATGGAGGCATGTATTTGCATCAAGCAGGTATCTAGCCAAAAGCTAGATTCACAAACAGGTTGGAAGCTTTTAGAATCCCATGCCCAGAAGAGCAAGAATTGGTCTCCACAGTGAAGACTTGCATAAACGTCAACATTCCGAAAGTCTTCAGGACCTTTAGGATGCACATTGGGTGGAAGGGAGACTGATGGGTTTATCATACTTGAACCTTATTTATAACATTTCAGTTGAATTTTTGGGATAAAATTCAATACAGCACAAACTCAGACACGATATGTCTTTTTCGGAATAACTTGAAATCTCAAACTCAAATCATAACATCAGGTTCCCTTCCAGTATAAAATATTTATCAGAGAGGTTTGGATGGCACTCAACATCATATTCAAAATGTAAACACTTTTCTTTTTCAAAAGCTCATCCAGAATCTCATAATTGCATGCATTTTAGACAGTGTGCCAATTTAGTTAAAATTAAGTTGTTTAATTATCACAAATCCTCATGATTAAGGTTCATCAACAGCATTCAGTGTTACTATTTATGTCTCAACATTAGCTTAGAGCAACATGCCTCATTAAATGTGTGATTAAGTACATGCCTGACATCAATCAGTATTAGGTAACATGCCCTGTATATCATGCTCTCAGACTAATATGTTCCGGGGTATCTTCTCTGTATCAGTAGGTGGGTACTGTCAGAACATTATTGTCAGTATCATTATCAACTCATCACTTCACATCAGTTACTGGTGACACTCATTATCAAAATTATTCCATCTTTCACATGCAGCCAGGACATAAATGCTATCAAAACCAATTTATCTAAGAACATAGCTCTTTGTTAAGATTAAGCTGTTTGGGTGTAAAAGATTCTCAGATTTCACAGTTTGCTTCAAACTGACAACATGGAACAGCAACACCATCTAGCACAAGGCAGGGTTCGAAACCCACATAAGTTTGAGTGATATTCAGTAAGGACAAGTGATATTTTCTTGCAGGCAACAATTTTACTGTTTGGTAACTGTCAGTACTGTAGGTTTGGGAACTAGTGAAAATAAGAATTAATTTCTAACCATATAAGGTGGTGTTATAACGAAACAAGTTAGTTGATATACAATATATTTTGGCTTGTCTTCTAATTTTAACACAGCCCCATACCCAGCATGTGTATACATTACATAACATCCTATGCATCAATCAATACAAGGTGTTATCTCTCATGTCTTACAAATACAAGTCAATGTCAATTTTTCCCTTAAAACAGTTAATTAGTAAAATGGATTTTCAGTTCAAAATCTATTTTATAGTCCAGGTTTTAAGATCAGATAATAAAAGTCCATATGTTCAGATCCAGGTTTACTGAACACTTATCCACAAGGCATTTCAGACTGGGATTATCAAAACGTTTTGTCCCTTTTTTTAGCATTCTGAAAGTAAGTAATTTTGGGGTAACCATTTGTTCTACATTAAAAAGATAGCTGAGCCAGCACTGGCCAGAAAATACCTTCTGACACAGACACACCTCGTAGTTTAAATCTTTCGAAGAAAAATCCTTCAGTCATCAAGCAAAGCACATCATAATCTTAGCAGAATGAACCCTCTTGGCAGACAGCAACACACTTTTCACAAAAGCTGAACCCATATATTGACTGTTTGATCTGTTAGTCGAACCAATTCCTGCATATATTTGTTTCAAAGCCTCTACAATTTACAAAATAAAAGTTAAAGTCTTCAGCCATTATGATAACTATACAGTATTTTCATAGAATATCAATCAACATCAGCAGAGTCATATTCACAAGGTTAGCCAACCCTACAACACCACTGGCAGCATGAGGAAACAGGACTGTTCATCCAAGCAACCTGAACACTACAACTATTATTGTCTGTGTTAAAGTATGAGAGTTAATAGAGTCGTAATGCCAAATAACTCTGTGGAATGTCACCACTATTCACTGCTTAAACTTAAACCTGTCTAAGACAATCAACCAACCTAAAGTAAATCAACCAACAAGTAAACTACATATTCCAGTACCTATCTAACTTCAAACTTGATACAAAGCTATTGTGATCTTTATGTACCAAACATTTCGTGTACAAACAACTAAAACTAAAACATGCAATACAAGCAAATACCCATGCAGATAAACATGCAAAGAAGCAACATAAAGGACAGACAAGCCATCAATCCGATACCTGCGCTAAGGGGCGCCATTCTGCAGCCATGCATCAAGTCTTACCGGCACATGTAGGTTGGACACGGAGCTCCTTTGGGTACGGTTGGATGCAGCAACATACGCCAAATACTGGATCACTTTCTTTGTGTTTTCGGTCTTACCAGCTCCAGATTCACCACTGAAAATGAATACAATCTCATGTTTGCATCATATGATTCTCTCATCTGAACATTATGAATTGTTAAAAGTGTGTGTTCAAAGGAGTGTGTGAGTGAGTGAGTTGGGTTTAACACCGTTTTTAACAGTATTCCAGTTATATCAGCTTAATGTGGGAGGAACGCCCGAAGTGATACAGGTCTCAGACGTTTATCAATTCGGTGAAAGCCACGAGCACCTGGTATGGTGCTGACAAACCTAGAAGCATAATCGGGGCGAACCAAGTGTGTTAAAGAACAAGGGTGATATTGAAACCTATTTTTTATGTTTTGATTGGGTCAGGATATATGATGCCAGAGCAGGCACTCTCAGATATTAAACAGGCAAACCCCAGGTTAATTGTGTGAATAGCAAGACAAGACCTCAACACACTGCTGTGGTCGCCTGTGGTGTGACTACTGGTCCTTTGCAGACAATGCAAGGGTTAGTGTAGATGTTGTCAATATCAACAAGTAAGTGTCAGCAATATTCAAGGCTATATGCTGGCAGCCTGTAAGCAAGTCTGGACCAGTCACACCAGTCACTGACAGCATGAGCAACGATTCACGCCATCTGATACAGTGGCATGGGGTACTCAAGCAACATCATGGATATTTAACCTAGAAATAAACAAGGGGAAACCCTGATGGTAACAGACAAGCTGACTTTGTTCGAAAAAAGAACTTTTATGAATACACCAATGTTTTGTTCAACAACAAAGATTTATAAGGTACTTTATTTGCTGTTCCACAGGGACTGGCAGTCACATGAATTACCGGTCCAAGCCTAATTTTACCGGTAAAAAACTGGTAATTACCGGTAAACGGGAACGCTGATAATAGCATGAAGTAGTTCAGACACTCTTTTCCTCATATGAGCTACACATATCCTTGTAGTTAGGTTATTCATTAAATGGTAATCTATTCGTTTAAAGGAGTCTGATCTCCCTGATCACATTGCTTATCTATGCACTGGTCACAGTGCACTTCCTTCAGAAATAGACATGTACATGTACTTGAGTCTAAAACCCTGCCACAAAATATGACAAGAATCCAGAGCAAGCCAAGGCTTTCCCGGTGCTAACCTAAACCTTATCTTGGACTTCACACTGATAGATTCTTTTTTCTGGCACAATTTCTTTCAAGTATTAGAAAGAAGAAAGTAGGAACCACTGGCTGTTGCTGCCAAAAATATGGCATTCATTTCCCCCTGCTTATCAGTGTTAGATAACCTAAAATAGTTCTTCAACATTACTCAAAACATTTCCATACCCCTCTGCTTACATTTGATAGCATCTGGACTTGGAGGATTCTTCTGTATCTACTTATATATTTGTTGAACATACACAACGCCAGACCTGGATTCAAGAGTGTGTGTAAGAACAGATCCGACCCTCACATGAATCTTTGTGGAGATACATCATGACATACAGGGACTATCACACTGAAGTTGTGCTGCTATCAGTGTGATTAAATTGACACTTGTTTCCTGTCAACAATAATTATGGATTTTATGCAATCTGCAGCAAAACATATATTTAATCAAAGTCTTGCTGCAGATGTCATGCCCTTACGGCAGGTAAAATATACGCTAAATGTCTAGCATCTATCCAGTATATAATTTAAAGGGCATAATGCTGTGAGGCCACTATCTCAATACTTGGGTCAAAGATAGCAGTCCAACTTACGTGCAGAGAATAGACTGGTCTTCGCGGTCTGAAAATAAAAGAATTAAATAATTAGATATACATATATCACATAAAACATCACATAAAAACACTCACATAAAATTTAGCACATATCACAAATTGAATTTAACAAGCTGCCATTAATTTGCAAAACCAAACTGAAATGTTGTTTGCCTGGGCTTTAGTTTGTACTTAGGCCAAATCTGTTATGATTTTGAATGCCCTATCAAAGTACCGTTGGGGTATTATATATCACAATTGCATTGTCTATTGAAGCATGACATTGTTGGTTGTGGTCTGTTAGCTTGACTATTCACAGGAGTCCTATTACCTCGCTATGTGGGTGGTAACAGTACAGGGTGATCACTATCACCCTCTATACAGCAATATCATAAGTTAAACAGGATTTATGGTAACCTTGAACCAGCAGAACACTTGTTTTGCCAAAGTCAGGAGTACATTATTTTTTCACATAAAAGTTTAATCAATACAGATGCAATGACAACATTTGTATAGTTTTTGTCTTTTTAATTCTGAGGTGTTGTCTTTGTTTATCTATAATCATATGACATATTAAATAAATAGGTGTAAAAATCACCTTCTTATAAGATGTGACTGACACATACTACAACGTTCTGATAACGCCATATCCTGTTTTATAGCTATATCACTGTTTACTGTGTGTCCACACCCCTATTCTGCTGCTGTATAGAGGGTGGCCTGATCAAACAGGGTGTACTCACTCTACCCAGTATCGGGTGTGACGCTGACACTGTCGCCAGTCTGAGCTGGATTTTCCTCACTCCAGATATCCCGTATCAGACCTCTACACTACAAACCGCCCTCATAGTCCTGGGCGCCATTGTGCAAAGCAATCTTAGTGCTACGGTGATCGTAACTCCCATACCTTAACACAGACTTACGACAGTCAGTCGTAGTGCTAAGGTTGTTTTGTACAACAGCACCCTTAACATCCTCAACACAGTTTATGATCTTAATCTATCCCAGGTCATTTTATTAATGTTGCTTCATCGCCATTGAGTTCCTGACACTGAGTGAACAATTCCTAATGTGTGATCTACAGATGTCACAATAATGAGCTGAAACCAAAACGCTTCAGAGTGTCTTGCCATAAACAGATCATGGCTGAAATTGTCCATAATAATTCACTGACAAAATCAATCTCTTAATAAATTCAATTTTAATTTATTTTACCATTAACACTCAAGCCCTAACCATGATTATTTTGCAAGCACTTAAGTAATAGCTCTCTTCTATCCTAGAGTGTTATCAAGCAAGAGTATCAGCACTATTTATATGTACATGAAAAGTAAGGCTAAGCCAGTCACTGTGTGCACATTTATCAGGTACACACTGTCAAAGGTAGCATTGTTTGAATGGCCACAAAGTGTTCCTTGTACAACAGTGTGGGGCCACAACTGGGTCTACAATTTTTAAACACTCCTCTCAATCACAGCTGCCAGTATAGAGGAAATAACAGGCTACAGTCATACAAAAAGTTTAATCATATTTCCTGTTCATTCTAAAAACAGATAGTTACAGGAAACAGATCTTCCTGTACACAGCACCATTTCGTACAGCAGACTGTGCCAAAAATGTTTCAGTCTACTCGCCTGAACTTGTATTTTGGAATTATTTAGTAGATTTTTAGTCCTTAGCATATGGATTAGAATAAGCTGATCTTACTAGACCAGAAGACATTTTACTAGATTCGAGTTCCAGACTAGTGTCTAAAGTGGTAGACCGGTACAGCCTTATGTGCAGTCTGTACCTGTGTCCGAAATAACTGACTGCCTGCCCATGGCTGGTTACTTTCAGGTGGGCTGCATGAAATTTCCCCCAACCAGCCCGATTGTCTGGCAGATAATTTTAAGACTACTTTCGTATTCAGTCATATCATAATTCCTAGTAGATTCTCAAGTAATTGTTTGCATGTTTTCAACTGAATCAAGACACGATCTGTCTCATATTTTTGCGGGGAGGTAACTTTGAACATGTGCAGGCAACACTTAACAGGTCTAACATGGAAGAAAACTATTTATGATCAATTATTTAACCCTTGGACCTCAAAGTGATGATCATCATGTTTTACGCGATTCCCCAAACTAGTAAAATCTGTTATGCTTGTTTGTTTGTTGTTTAACGCCGCACTCAGCAATATTCAAGCTATATGATGGAGGTCTGTAAATAATCAAGTCTGGACCAGAAAATCCAGGGATTGACATCATGATCATCGATCCACGCAATTGGGATACGAGGACATGCATCAACCAAGTCGGCGAGCCTGACCAACGGATCCCATTAGTCGCCTCTTATGACATGCATAGTCACCTTTTATGGCAAGCATAGTCGCTTTTTAAGGCAAGCATGGGTTGCTGAAGACCTATTCAAACCCGGATCGTCACAGGTCAAATCCTGTTATGACATGCAGTGTATTATGTTCCCGCTGTATAATCAATACCACAGACAAACCACTCATTCCCAAACTCAACCTTTCAAAAACAAAAGTTATTTCTTTACACTTAACATCTCTATATGGCTAACTTCCCATTAAACAATTTTAATGAACCTAGTTTTACAAAATACAGACTAAGTCAAAGTACTGAACACAATTAATCATTCCCCGAACAAGACAGGTCAGGATGTTTTGACCCATTAACATATACCTTGGCACTTAAGAACTGTAAACTAACCACAGACATTTCACCTCGGCCATATGTCAGATGTATAATCCATAAGCCATGGTGATTCAATGAACAGTTAAACTCCTCAAGATCATAAGTCTTCCCTGTCAGGGAGCAGCAGTTTAACCTACAGCACTGTCAGACTGAATAAAACAAACAATGAACGGTCCCCAAATGGAAATCATGTAACACCTCAGTGCTTGTTTCTATTACAAAAACAGTCCTCTGCAAACATGTCACATTTTTACATGACCTTGGGAATTACCTAGCTACTGTTTGAAGGTCACCTGTCATTGCAAAGTACAGAAAACTATTTCTTTCTTTCATGACATGAAAAATATGAAACGTTCTTTTCCAGTAGGAATACACCAGTATATAAGTTTAGGGGAATTCACAGGTTCTACAGTAGGTAGTTATATACTGAACAGCCATTTGACAAACACACAGAGTTACAAACAAATGTTTGAACTGAAGCAGGTGATAATACACACACACCAGGTGAGAGGACAAGTGCGATGAACTACCAGACAACTACTAGCTCATTCTTGACTGCAACCAGCATTTATTGTGACACGGAAATCCAAACAAAACTTGAGACTGGGGTGACTTTAGGTTAGTAAAGTTAGGAAGAGTTTCAAACAAAAGGCAGCGTGGGGTTGGCTAACACGTTGTGTGGATGACTCACAAAGTATTTCAGCTGGCTGGAGAATGAGATACAGCCAGGCTGCCTGTGTGACTCACTACACAGCCTGGTCCCCAGCACCTAGTGTGTTTGGCATTAGCAAATACAACATTCAATTAAAGATTGGAAATTAATCTGTCCATCGTGACAAACTTCGTATGTGGGAAAAGGGCTTAAGAACAAAGATGTCGAGATGCCCAGGAAATAATAGCAATGTCAGAAATATGTCAAACATGAAACTAAAACTGTCTGTCAATATTTGCCTGGTAATGGTAGCTACTTCCTTTTAAATTGTGATCTACTGAGAAAATGTAGAAAACCACAGCACCATTGACATATGACATGCTCCTATTTTCAGTTAAATTGATAAAATATACATAGAAACCTAGTCCCCCAAAGCTCTCATTTTTAGCTAAGATTTCAACATCATTTTTCTCTTGATTTTCTACCCCTGTCCATGAATAAATTTTGAATCATTGTCAGAATGTACATGATGTATGGCTTGTCACAACAGGCAGGGCTTCACATGACCCAGTCTAGACAACATGTGATACAGCTAACACTGTCCACCTATATACTGCATGCATATTTGACATGCCATCAGTCATTGGGACACAAGATACATCTCACTGCTGCAAGTATTACTGCACATTCAGGTAGAGCCCATACATGCATGCTTGCTGCCAACTCAAGCTGAAACATCATTGTAAAGGAGGATGTGCATTACAACATAAACACACAGTAACAGCCCAAACAAGCAACATGTTTATAATAAGGCACACATAACTGTTTTTATGACATTAAGGATACTTGTTACGACTCCAATATGACCTGGTTGTCACTAAGACCATTAACAAGATGGTTAGCTCATGCTTTATAGACCAAAATGCTGAAGGGAATATGTGTGGTTAACATTACCCAAGGTAATTACTACACAGCAGACCTGCCCAATCCCAGAGTGGGGCTCTAATCAGTCTTGACAAGACAGACATCAGTATAAACTAAGAGTGAGAATGGTTTTATGCCGCTTTTAGCAATATTCCAGCAATACCATGGCAGGGGGACATTAGAAATGGGTTTCACACATTGTACCCATGTGGGGATTAGAACTAGGGTCTTCAGTGTGACAAGTGAACGCTTTAACCACAAGGCTACCCCACCATCCCTGTACACTAAGTAAAAAGTGAGGGTGCACATGCATATTTCACACTAGTCAGCATTACTCATGCTACATTTGTAAAAATAAGATAGGTATGTGATCGCAAGGAACAATGAAGATAGAAGCATGGTACATTTCACAATAAAACATTGTTCTACCATGATGCCATTTCTGGAGATTGGAACATGTGCTTGCAACTTGATGACATTTTAAATTGGATGACTCTATTTTTGAGGGGGGAAGTGTCTTGTGAGCTATTCTCCATATATGTGGCCGGGCAACATAGATAAACACAATGGCCATCGATCGCTTCCAAAATAGGGAGATATGAGACAATGGGTATTGGGATATAAGGTACTGTAGGAAATAGTTAGAATATGTGGGAAAGACCAAATTTAACCACCACCACCACCCCTTCATAAAATGGACTTCTCCGACATTTCTTCGGACGGATTCTATTCAGGGAGTCATCACTATTTAAA